GAAGACAATGTAAGCACCATGCATTGTGAAGAGAAAAAATACCAAATCGTCCCACGCCCCAACTGGTCTTGCCAAGAGCCTGTGTAAGCCTATGGCTCCCCTACTCCCCCTCTTCCTAGGCTAGCCCTGGTGACTTTTTCTAAGAGGAACTGACTCAGAAGAGGCAGCTGTCCCAGGTGACCAAACAGGAAGACCAGCCTCCTGAATTGTCTGTCGGTCTCAACAGCCTTCAGGCCTGACTGACTGTCCACCCTTGAAAGGTCACACTCTGGGGCAGAAAAAGGAAACCATTGGTGGTCCCTAAATTGTTTATTACTTTGAAAATTTTGGGGGCTGGAGGCATGGCTCAGTGGTTATGAGCACTTATTTCTGTTGCAGAGGATCCAGGATCGAGCATCCACATGGTGGCTCACAGCTACCTCCAATTTCAAGGGATCCGAACCCTCTTCTGCTTCCATAGCACTAGGCACACACCCCCATCCATATACATTCAATCAAGCAAAGCATTTGTACATATGCAAAAATAACTTATCTTTTTGGGTTTTTTGAGACAGGTCTTACTTTGTAACTCTTGGCTGCCCTGGAACTTACTATGTGGACCATGCTGGCTTTAAAGTCAGAGATTTATCTGCCTTTGCCTCCTGAGTGTTGGTGCCCTGCTCTAGTGCTGCCTCCTAATATCAGGGATGTAGAAGAAATGAGTGAAGGAAGTGCTCCAGGTGGGAGCCACACCAGGCAAAAACAAATATGGGAGGCACTTACCGCAGACTCCCAGACTACCCAGAAGAGCCCATCATCTTGCCAGACTGAAGTTACAGGTCCTTTGCCTACAGTCATGCCTTGTTTGGTTCTCAGTTACCCACTGGCCAGCATTCCCCTCCCCCAGTCTTGTTTTTTTATTTCCCCAGAGTTTCCCTAGGGCCTTCTCTGGGCTTAGGTTGCCAGGGACAAAACTTTCCTCTTAAAGAGACAACACACTGGGAGCCACAAGGACTGCTCCAACATGGATAGAGCAAATCATTCCACCTCTGGGTTTCAGTGGCTTCATCCTTGAAGAATTATGGTAGGACTGCTGTAAGAGAAACAGTAATAAAACTACCTTACTGTTGACCATGGTGGTATATACCAATAATCCCATTGCCCGAAAGGCAGAGGCTGGAGTCGCTAGCCAAGAGTATGTAGCAAGATCCTGCCTGCAGGCCACGTTCTAACTCTAATACACAAACTCACTTAGTGGAGCCCATTCTATGTGGAGAGATACCTTGCTCAGCCTAGACACAGGGGTGTGGAGGATGGGGAGGTGCCTTGGTCCTGCCTCAAGGAGATGATGGGACACAGACTCAGACTTCTTTGGAGAGGCCCTACCCTCTCCGAGCAACAGATGGGAAATGGGGTAGGGAGTAGGTGGGGGGAGCAGGAGGAGAAGAGGGAGGGGGAACTGGGATTGGAATGCAAAAACTAAAAAGAAAAGAAAAAAGAAAGAAGGCCCCAGGCAAGCCATGGTGACACAATAAGACCCTGTCTCAAAAAAGTAATGATAATAAAATAATCTTCAGTAAATAAAGACAGGGCCAACATACTCAGCTTCCTTATCTTTTTTGTTTGTTTGTTTTTTGAGATGGGGTTTCTTTGTGTAACAGTCCTGGCTGTCCTGGAACTCTCTTTGTAGATCAGGCTGGCCTTGAACTCACAGATACCCATGGTTGTCCAGCAGCTTCCTTATGTTTTAAAACTCACCACTCTCCAACATAGCACCTCCTGGAAACCTGTTAGAGCCAGAGTGATTTGAGAACTTCACTTTTCAACTCAGGACACTTGTGTCAGCAATTTTCTCCATAAATGTATGCTGCTCTCAGCCTTGGTCAAAGAAGCTTCTTTTTGCAATGGGCTGTGGTTAATGCAGACTCATAGCAGGTCCAAGTGCTGAGAAGTGACTGTGAGTGCTGGGTTGGGGCATTTTGTAGGAGGTAGGAAGCAGTGACATGATTGATAAGGTGTTGGGAGTATTGCCTGGGCTTGGGATGTGCTAGGTGTATCCTGAGTGAGTCTGGTGGTCACCTTGGAATCAGGAACTAAGTGTCCACTTTGTCCAGTGTTTTGAGCCGGCTTTTAGGGACTCTCTTTGTTCCATTCGTGGACTTCTGTAAGCCTCAGCTTCCTGCTGGAGTGTGGGTGGCCGGGGATCTTTTGTCCAGAAGCCTCCAGCCTAACACATAAGGTTATCCTACTTGCAAAGAGGCAGAGGAAGGTGGATCTCTGAGTTTCAGGTCAGCTTGGTCTACAACAAGTTCCAAGACAGTAAGAGATACACAGAGAAACTCTGTCTCAGAAAAAAACAAAAATTTAACAAAACTTTAGCTTAAGCACTAAAGAAAATGGGTCCTTGAAAAGTCTTGAGCTTTGTGGTACCAAATCTAAGAGATCTGTCTGGATCCTGCAGGAAGTACAGTGGAGAGTTAGAACATGCCTTCCACAGAGATGACTCTGAAAACTTGCTGGAGATGTACTGCATTAACTGAGTATGTGCACTGAGGCCCGGTGGTAGCTACAGGATGGGACCATTATTTGCTTTTTTGTTTTGTTTTGGGTTTTTGTTTTTTCAAGACAGGGTTTCACTGTAGCTTGGGAGCCTGTCCTGGAACTCGCTTATAAATCAGGCTGCCCTCAAACTCACAGAGATCCACCTGCCTCTGCCTCCTGAGTGCTGGAAGGTACCATTATTTTGTTCCCTGAATTGCTCCCAATATCTGTAATAGTGACTGACACATTTGTTGAACGAAGAACTGCTAGAGGGCTTGGAAATAAAACCAAGTCTTTCTTTTGTCAGACTTCATTCCTCCATTCTGTGCTTTTCAGTCCAGCACATTACAGTCTTGTTGTTATCTTTAAAAAAAAAAAAAAAAAAAAAAATGTGGCCTCTCCGCGCTGCCCTGGGATGGGTCCATACGGCGTTGTTCTCGATTCCCGTCGTAACTTAAAAGGGAAACTTACACAATGCACAATGTCCGGAGCCCTTGCTGTCCTGCAGATGAAGGAGGATGTCCTCAAGTTCCTTGCTGCAGGGACCCACTTAGGTGGCGCCAACCTTGACTTTCAGATGGAGCAGTACATCTACAAACGGAAGAGTGACGGCATCTACATCATCAATCTGAAGAGAACCTGGGAGAAGCTGCTGCTGGCAGCCCGAGCCATCGTTGCCATTGAGAACCCCGCTGATGTCAGCGTCATCTCCTCCAGGAACACTGGGCAGCAAGCTGTGCTGAAGTTTGCTGCTGCCACGGGGGCCACTCCGATTGCTGGCCGCTTCACTCCGGGGACCTTCACCAACCAGATCCAAGCAGCCTTCCGGGAGCCACGGCTTCTGGTTGTCACTGACCCCAGGGCTGACCACCAGCCCCTCACAGAGGCATCTTATGTCAACCTGCCCACCATTGCCCTGTGTAACACAGACTCTCCTCTGCGCTACGTGGACATTGCCATCCCGTGCAACAACAAGGGAGCTCACTCGGTGGGTCTGATGTGGTGGATGCTGGCCCAGGAGGTACTCCGCATGCGTGGCACTATCTCCCGTGAGCACCCATGGGAGGTCATGCCTGACCTTTACTTCTACAGAGACCCAGAGGAGATTGAGAAGGAGGAGCAGGCCGCTGCCGAGAAGGCTGTGACCAAGGAGGAATTCCAGGGCGAATGGACTGCACCAGCCCCCGAGTTCACCGCGGCTCAGCCAGAGGTGGCTGACTGGTCTGAGGCTGTTCAGGTACCCTCTGTGCCCATCCAGCAGTTTCCTACAGAAGACTGGAGTGCCCAACCAGCCACTGAGGACTGGTCAGCAGCTCCCACAGCACAGGCCACTGAGTGGGTTGGAGCCACCACTGAGTGGTCCTGAGCTGCTCTGCAGACACCCGAGCAAAGGGAAAAAAGGTGGAAGGAAAATAAATTCTCATCATACAAAAAAAAAAAAAAAAAAGTGTGTGTGTGTGTGTATCCCTCCCAAATGCAGAAATTAAAAGCATGTGCCACCATGTTTGGCACCTTGAGTATTTCTGAAGATAGCTGACCTAGCTACATTTCTATCTCATTCTGATCATGTTTCTCTTTGAGAACAATATATCTATTAGTCAGAAGTTCTGGCCAGAATTGTTGGGTCTAAGATGACTGCCAGAGTGTCTGCCAGGTGACTTCTACCTAAATAGTAATTCTGTTACCAGGTAAATTAGGGCCCTCTCTTTGGGTTCATTAATAAAAGAACAGAGCTGGAGAGATGACTCAATGGAAATGCATGTAACTCTTTCAGAAAACCCAAATTCAGTTCCCAACTCCAACTCCAGAGACTCTCATACCTCTGGCTTCCCCCTGCATCTGCACCCACATATACTCACACACAGACACATGAATACAGATTATTTAACATAAACTTTACAAAAATAAAGTGCTTTAAGAATGGACTCAGAAGCCGGGTATTGGTGCATGCCTTTAGTCCCAGCACTCAGAAAGCAGGGGCAGGCAGATCTCTGTGAGTTCAAGGCCAGCCTGGTCTACAGAGTGAGTTCCAGGACAGGCTCCAAAGCTACAGAGAAACCCTGTCTCAAAACAAAACAACAACAACAAAAGAATTGACCGTAAGAACAATTTTATTATTATTTAAAAGAAAAATAGCATGGCAAGCAACCTGAACATCCTGGCAGATTCCAGAAGAAAAACAGAAGAGGAAGAGAGAGTCATGCCTTTTGAGTTAGGCCATGAAGGTTAATAATGGAGTTTGACCAAGTAGAGCGGTGAGAAGCAGGGGAGGGGAGATAAAGGAAGAGCAAGAACCAAGAACAAAAAAAAAAAAAAAAAAAAAAAAAAAAAGCCCAAGCATTGGCAAGTATCCCAAAGAAAGAAGGGGGAAAGAAAGAAACAGCTATGCTCCTGTGAGCCAGGACTCAGCAAGGACCGAACTGAGCCAGGACAGAACACAAAGTGGAAGGCCCACAGGTGGGCCTCTGATGGAAGAAGATGGTGTGCATGTTCCAGTCGTCCACTACGGGGTCATCATCATGGAAGTCGGGGTTCTTCAAGTAGACATTTTCATCCTTGAGCTCTGGAACCTCCATCCATCTATACCCAGGACAGGGTTTCTGGGAAGGACAGTTCATTATCTCATTAAGGGGATAATTATTCCTCCAGTCTCTTTTTAACTTAATTTTAGGTGAGTCAGGCCTCCTGAGGTGTGGTCCCTTGGCCAAATAATTGTCAGGCCTAGCTGGAGTAACACGCTTCTTCTTTCAGTCCCTTTGATAGGTGCTCTGGGGAGTGAGCAGAAAAGCTGGCAGGGAATGGGGCCAAGGTAGTGCTTCTTACATCCCACTTAGTAATTTATCAGTCATCTTCTGGCAGCTGGATCTTCCTGGGGTCAAAACAATTGGATTCCATGATGGGGAGGCCATTGGCTTCTCGGTGTTTCACGAGCATCCCAGCTTCCTGGCGGGCCCACTTGACCATCCCGTAGTCGGGAATATAAGCCACAAAGGTGGTTCCGAAGACCAGGACGATGGAAAAGCCAAAGAAGAAGACAGCGTGCATGTTCCAGTTGTCCACCACAGGGTCATCGTCATAACCATGGAAGTCGGGGTTCTTCAAGTAGACGTTTTCGTCCTCAGTGTCTGGGTCCTCCATCCAGCCCACGGTTGGTTCTCTCTTCTCTTTTCGCTCCACAGTGGACCGGACGATCACAGCCCTAGAGGACCTCGATTTCCAGCGAAGGTCGATAGCCTGGAGCCCTCGAATAGCTGAAAGACTGCGGGTGCACAAACTTAACCGCCAGGCCGCCATGACACCTGCAGAGGTAGGGGTGGGGTGGGCGGGTAATACCGAGGAGATAACGGAAGGATGCCCTTTGTCTATGGCCAGAGGCAGAGTCCATTCCTTGGGAGGGGGGAGGGGAATGGATGGAAGCGGATATGAGAATAGCTTTCCCTAACTGATACCAACAGAACACTGACATACCCCAAGGCTGTGGTAGCAGTTCTAACTGCACATTAAAGGCACGCTTTCTAAAGCACATTTTCTAACGGCCTGATAGTCAACAATTGTCGTAACAGTGACTGAAAAGAACTGTGAAAGATGACTAGGGTAGAGTGCATGGCTGGGATTTGCAAGGCTCTCCCTGGGATCAGTCTCCATCGTCTGAGGCAGTACCCAAATTCCCAGCGAACCTCCAGTCTCAGAGAAGACACCTCCACTCTCAGAGAAGACATCAACACTGTAACAACCACTCCCATTTATCACTCTGTCCTTGCAGGCCACTTCTTTTATGTGCATTTACAAACTCCTAACTTTTGGAGTTTACCTCTGACTACTCTTATTCATAGTCAAGATTGAGTTTCCCTCCCTGCTCAGCTGATGTCTGCTTTTATTGGTTCCACAATTACCAGAGGGAAAAAGACTCAGTTTGGGGACCAGAAAAATAAAAAAATAAAAAAGGTAATGTGGGGAATGGAACAATGGAATATACCGCACACACTCACACTCACACTCACACACTTATAATGAACACTAGAGACTCAGAGTTCTGAAAACAACATGATTTATTTAATAATCCTGCAGGATCATGTAGACAGATGATGTTCAGTCCCAAATAAACACACAGAGGCTTACATTAATTATAAACTGTTTAGCCTATGCCTCAGGATTATTGGCTGGCTCTGTCTTAGTTAACCAGTTTCTATTCATCTATGTATCTCCAGGTGGTCTTAGCTTACCAGTGTTGCCCGGGTCACTTCCTTGGCAGCTACATACTGTCTCCCTCGCAACTCATTCCTTGTGTTCCTCTTTACAACCTTCTCTTAGTGTGGTAGCCCCGCCTGTACTTCCTGCCTGGCTACATCCTGCCTGTCCATTGGCCGAAACAGCTTTATTCATCAATCAGTTAGAGAAACTCACAACAGTCTGATCCAGGCGATTCAATGCCCTCTTCTGTAGTACCAAGCCCACACATGGTGTACAAACATACATACAGGAAAAATACTCATACTCATAAAAGAAATATATAATGTAAGTAAAATAATTTGAGGAGGCTATAGGGATATAGCCACTGTCAACCTCTGGTCTATGTGCATACAAATGCATACAACACCCAGAGAATTGTAACAAAGTTCAATAAGATCATTATAAGCCCATGATAATGGCAGCATCATTCTCAGTGGCAGAAGAAGGTACCACAAGTGTCCATTGACTGATGAGTGGATAAAAACATGTTCTACACGATGGGTAGTGGTGGTATACACCTTTAATCCCAGCACTTGGGAGGCAGAAGTAGGCAGATCTCTGTGAGTTTGAGGCCAACTAAGTCTACAGAGTGAGATCCAGGACAGGTTCCAAAACTACAGAGAAACCCTGTCTTGAAAAACTAAAAAAGGGACTGGAAAATTAAGAAAAAGAAAAAGGAATATATGATGTATATTTTATAAAATCAAGCCCAGCAAGAGTTTAATAACATAACAATTATAACAAACTACAATAAAAGTTCTTTAAATGTGGAACCCTTCTCTTAGACGTCTCACTTTATTGCACACAATACTACTTGCAATGCCAAGGGGTGATGTAAGGCCTAAAGATGAGCTAGACTGAGGGGAAGAACATGGGCATTGTGACATAGTATTAGGACACCATCACCTTTCTCCTTAAACAGACTGCAACATTGCGTAGTGTTAGGACACCATTGGCTTCCCCCTTAAACACAAGGACTGCAATATTACACAGATCTGAGAACACAGACCCCTACAGCATCCCTAATAACATGAATACATGGAACAAAGGCACTCATATTGTGCCCAATATGAGTGAGACAAGGAAAGAATACAATAGGTTTAATGAGACTCCAAATGGTACCTTATTCAAAATTTGTGAGCTGAACATTTCTGGAATTTTCCAGGTAATGTTTTTGAACCATGATTATCTACTGTAAATGAAACCAGAGAAACACAAATGAGTTCTGGGTGAGCACTGTTCATCCATTCAGCTTTAAAAAGCTAGTGTGATGCCTGCTGACCACGAAAGAGCCTAGAAGACTTGTCAGTCACAGACAGACAGTACATGACTACACTCTGTGAAATCACAGAAACAGAAGATAGACTGATGGGTGCTAGAACTGGGCAGAGGAGAGTGGGAAACTACTGTCCTGGGGTATAGAGCTTCAGTTTTAGCAGATGAAGTGATCTGGGGAAGGACTGTGGTGGTGGCTGAATACTGGGAATTGACTTGATAGCCTTGAGCTGTACTCTGCAAATGGAGAGGATGTGGCTGGCTGACCATGCATAAGGCCTTGAGATCAATTCCCAACACCATGAGAAATCACATGGAAGGGCTGGTAAATATTAGTGATGCTCAAACAAAATAAAACCAGAAAGATGTTCAGACAAACAAAGCAATTTCCTGGCATGCTATGGAGTGTGGTTAGGGCAGTAGATTGACCACACATTGGGCATTTCTGTCCTGCACATTCCAGGACAAGTGCTTGAGTCCCATCAGCCTGTGGGGAGACCTTGCCTGAGCCCCTGGAACATGCTGATAGCAGTGTCTCTGCACAGCTGGGCCTGAGGACCATGTGGCACCATTTATACCAGCAACAGTGTTTGGGAAAGTGGCCTTGGATTGCCTGAGTCTGACTTGGAGGGTGTGGAGACTGAGGTCAGCCATGTGGGTGCCTGATGGGAGATGTCATTCTGTATCTGTTTCTCATACTGGTTAATGAATAAAGCACTGTTGGCCAATAGGAAAGGAAGATAGGAGGGACTAGGAGACAAGGAGGAAATAGGAAGTAGGAAGGAGGAGTCAGGATGGAGAGCTTGGAGAGAACAGAACCGCCATTCCTCCACTCTCAGTAAGACCATGTGGAAATACATAGAAATGGGTTAATAATTAAGACAGAGCTCGCCGATAAGAAACTAGCACCTGGCCAACAGCATAGTATCAAATACAGAGTCTCTGTGCATTATTTGGGGCTGGTGCGGCCGCGGGACAAGACCAGCGGCGGCAGGCGGAAAAACCCATACTCCTTACAGGTGCCCCCCAAACCATGCTCATGACTTTGGGACCCACCAAACCCCTGAGCAGTGAGGCCCTGTGAGCTTAACTGTGAGCAATGTCCTCAACCTGAGTCACACTTGGTGTCTGGAAGACTTGTGTCTGAACACATACCTGACAGCTTTATGTGTGTGTGATGACCCAGGCTCAGCCCATCACCACTAACTGCAGCTGCTATTCCTCTGTACTTTCCCTCTGTGACTGGCCTGAGCTGTAAGGACAGCAGCCTTTCTACTTTCGTAAGCTTTTTTAGCATCTCAGGGCACCTCAGGGTCTTGGGGACCACTGCCACTGTCTGTCACCCAGGCAGGAGCAGTGCTGGCTCTTAGCAAAAATCCATTTACATTTGTCATCTGAGACTCATGGAGTCTTGACATCTACTTGTAGTTTGTCACAACCCTGGTCAACATGGATAGGTCTTTACAGGTGACATAGGGTCAGCTGTCACTCCTAAATACCAGCATGGTTCTCTCTCTCTCCCTCCTTCCTTTTGTTTTTATGATACAAGCTCTCACTGTGTAGTCCAGGTTGACTTGCTATTCAGAGCTGGGTAGCCTCAGACTTGTAACCCTGTTTCCTCAGGTTCCTGAGTACTGAAACTACAGGCCTGAGCCAATGTCTACTAGGCTCAGCACACCCTTTCTCATAGCATTAGTGGTCCCCTGGGGAGGGATGAGACCAGTGGTACAGGTTGGTTGGAGACTTTTGTCTGATCCAGCAGATATAGGAATTGAGGATGGGGCAGGAAACTGGCAGCCACAAGACTACTTTATTGTGCATGGCTCAGTCCTAGCTACAGAGCAGGACTGGAAAGAGTATCCCTGCTGGCGCAGCACAGCACAGAGCTGGTAGGGGAAGGGGGGGCAACTGGCGTTGCAGAGACCCCATGGTCACTAGGCCGGGGCTGTCCAGCGGGCACCGAGAAGCTAAAGCGCTGCAGGAGGCAGGAGAAGAAGTGGAGCACATGGTGTGAACTGGACTGGGACAGGGCTAACATGGCCCTGGTCATGAGGGCTGCCAATACCCTGGTTATCGTAAGCACATCCACAACCACTTTCTGCACACACTGGATTCTGCCATTCAACCTCAGCCTCAGAGGCTCCCAGCCCCTTAGCTAAGGTCATGGTAGTCCTGTAAGGAGTCTCCCATGGGTGCCCAACCAGACCTGTTTCTGTGTGCAGTGTTTTCTAAAATCCCCTGTGTCACTGTCATTGGCCATTTCTCTTTGCTGAGGTCACTCAGTGCTGCAGTTTACCTGCACCAGGCTGGTCTTGTCAGCGTGTTGGAAATCCAGGGTGTGCTGCTCTTGTGCTTTCCCGCCCATCTGTGCTGGTGTCATGATGTAATAATAGTAGGAGGGCCCATGCCTACCTTGGGGATGAGGAAGCCCTGTACTTCAATGTCCTGAGATGTGATGATTGGCAAATTCAATGTGGAGATGTTCCCAAATCGCTGCACCTCATGAATGACAGCATTGGTGAAGGGCATACAGGCCTGATCTGACATGTCTGGATACCACACCTGGATCTCTTATTGGACACAGCCTGGACAGACAGTGTCTCCTCAGTTAAGGAGCCAAAGGGGCTGCAGCTCAACCTCACCCACCTCTGTGTTAGGGGCTGAGATCACATGACTCATGCAGAGTCTGGTTCAAACCAGTGCTGAGAGTCATGAGTATCTTAAGTGAGATAAGAGATTATGCCTCTGTCTTTCTGTCTTTCCTCCCTCCCAGCCCCAGCCAGGCTCACTCTGCACATCCGGTTGCAGGATCATGAGCAGCAGGGCCAGGACAGTGTGGTTGAGGTGGTCACCATCCCCGCCGTGAACAGGTCAGCCACCACCATGCGCAGGTTCTCATCATTGAAGCTGCTCTCAGGATTCCCCTTGGCCTGGGCCAGGCAGAAAAGGTGGGCACAGGGGAGAAAGAGAGGAAACCCCACAACACCCTCCAACTGTCTCCATGTAGCTTAGGTGCTGAGTCACTGAATAGTACTCAGGCCCTACCTGCCTGGCCTCAGAATCCACAGGACACTTTAACCAATGCCTCTGCCCCCATCTTCTGCAGCTGTCCCTCACTTTTTCCACTTCAGCCAGGAAAGCATCAGTCAGGTCTTGGGGTGGCTGGGCAGGCTCCCAGGTCATCTTGTGCTCAGCCAACAGCTTCTCCAACATGGCCATAAACACCTTCTGGCGTAGGAAGACCTTGTCAGGCAGCCCTGGAATGTGCAGGAACATTGGAAACGTGTTCAAAACCTTTGGCAGCCACAGAGGAAGTCTCAGTGCTTCCTCTTAAAATTAATTATTCATTATCATGTATGGGGCTCATGAGCCATGGTGTGTGTGAGCCAGTAATAGGACAAGGTGTACGATCCATTGTCTCTACCCTCCATGGGTTTTAGGCTCAAACTCGCTTGGCAAGCTTTTATCCACTCTCCACTTGGCTGATGCTGGAATGCCTCCTCTACTCAGATCCCAGCCTCCTTCACAATGACCCCAGAGCCTGTTCATCTACACCCATCCCCTGCCTCCTCCTCAGTTCCACCCTTTAGACTCTTAAGCTGAGGTGAACAGAAGGAATATTCTACCCTGAAAATCTAGTGTGGCTTCCATGTACGCAGAAGGTGCAGGTTCCCTCTCTTACTAGAAACCCTGACTTGGTTCACTTCTCCCCTCCTGTTGTCAGATGTTCATCAAGCTCCAGGCCTTGCCTCTTGCAGTTGACTCCCAGAAGGCCTCTCTCATGGCCTTGGCACACAGCTTCCTCTGAGACCATGGACAGCATAGAAGTGGCTCTACAGGCTGCCCTGAGCCTCCTACCTCCGCAATGAAGCCAGAAAGTTCTTCCAAATGTCCTTCTGCTATTTTCAAAATTCTGGTGAGGTAAGGGTCGTCATTCTCAAAGCAATGAGCAAAAATGAGAGATTACACACAGCTTTGTTCAGTATGGTGCTGGGATTGAGGGACATCCTCAATTGAGGATTGAGGGAGTGGAGACACAAGATAGTCGCTGTACTGCTCATGTGTCCCTGTGCCTGTCTGCATCCTCACCCATCACACACCAGCTTGGTCAGCGAAGGAATCACAGAGGTGGCCAGCCTCATCTGTCACCCACTGCTCCAGTGATTTCTTGCCCAGACCGAAATTGCGTGTAGGGCAGAATCGACTCTGCTCTCTACATTCAGGCCCGTAAGGTGCAAGGATCACACCTGTAGACACATCTGTGTGTGAGCAAGGACACTGGCTGTACTGTCCACTGCTTTCAGCACTCAGCAACTTTGGTTGTATTGCTTGACTACGTCACCACCTCAGGCCCTGCCCACAGGCCTATCTGTGACACCACTTTTGCCCACCCCAGTCCCCTGCTCCAGTCCTCTGCCTCTGGATTTAGGCCCAAAGTCCAGGAGGTCATAGATTGGACACACGGTCAGCAGTGTCCTCTCCACAGTTCACCAGCACCTCACACACCGCCTTTAGTCCATTGATCACAATGACTGGCTTGCAGGCCATCTGCAGGCTGCACACATCACCAAAGCAACCCTGAAACTAAAGAGGGACCGAGCAATTATAAAGTGGAGGTTCCCAGCCAATGCTAGAACCAGGCTCACCATGAAAGTCTTAATGTATTCTTTATTCATGCATGTGTACATGCATGTGAGTGTGTATGTGTTGCTTGTATATTATATTCATACATGCATGAGTACATGCATTTGTGTGCATTGTTCAAGCATGCATTAATGCATTCATTTGTGTATTGTTTGTGCATGCATACATGCGTGTCCATGTGTGTTTGTGCGTATGTGTGCGTGCGTGTGTTACTGACCTCAGGACTTCATATATCCTGGGCAAATGCTCTATCACTGAGCTTCATTCCCAGTCTGAGATCTGTTGCTTTATGGCTGGGTGTCTCATTTTCTACCTTCAGCAAAGGATTCATAATACATGAGATCACCTGGCTAGAATCTTGGGAGAGCCAGGAAACTGCCACTGGGGCCCTTAGCATCCCACCTTACCTGAGGAGTTTCTGGTTCCTTGAGGTTTCTTGACCACCATGATGCACTAGACCCTGATCCCTCTCCCACATCCCTGACACTTCATTCACTGAGGGGACTTGGGGGCCTCTATGGCTTCTGCTCTATCCAACTAATGGAAGGCCTGCTGTTACATCCTGCCCCATCTTCTGGCCATTGTGTCCCCATGTCTTTGAGTGTCCTCAGGACTCAGTGCCCTCCCTCAGGAAGCCCAGCCACCTCAGCCCTTCCTCTTGAATGTCTGTTGCTTCAGCACCATGCCTCTGCTGCCCCCTACTATCATATCCCCTCACTTGGTACAAGCTGTATGGCATATTCTTGAGGTCCACCTGCAGCAGGCTGCATAGTACAGGCAATGGCATGAGGCCTGGTGGGTAGCGGGCAGTCCAGCGCTGGCTCCGATACAGCAGATCCACCAGTGATATGAAGATGAGTGAACATGACCGCAGACCACAGACCTTCTATCTCCAGCCAGCAGCCCCATGGCTGCCACATTGCTTCTCTGGCTTCTTTGGGGAAACCTCACAGCCCTCACTCAAGTCGCCTGTAGCCAGGACAGACACTCTTGCCACAGCCTGGGCAGTCTTATAAAGGAGGCTGCCCTTTGTCCTCTGCCTTGAGCTAAGTTATGTTCACTCTTTAGTTAGAAGGAGGGTGGAGAGAACCAAAGCAGGCCAGGGAGGTCAGCCTCAGAGGTTTCCTACCTCCCCAGGTGCTTACTCAGTGTGTGTTGTAGGAGAGCAACAAGATCTGAGAATAGTCAGGCTCTGGAACCCACAAGTTGGGTCAAGTTCTTGTCACGTGGGTCTCTTTCCTTTATTCACCCTTTGTTTTTTGGCAGGTCAGTCTCTTCCATATGGAATCTTCCATATGGAGATATGTAGGCAGTTTTAGCGCCCGCGCTACCATCTGTTCCACAAATCGGGTGAAGGCCTAGAGATTGAAATAAAGACAAGACAGCGGATCATCCATTCAATGGCAATGTTGGAATGCCAAATGCCTAATGCCCTTTGTTGAGGGCTTAAATACTGACTCACAGCACAGTGGAAAATTACAGGAATTTTAGGCTTAGCTCCTCCCTACTAGGTGTGTGTTGTCATGAGGTGTGTGTTGTCACGAGGTGTGTGTTGTCACGAGGTGTGTTATCAAAACGGGAAGAGTACCAACAGCAGCCTTGGGGCAAGGAGTTCCCTCCAACAGCTTCAGGCTTGCTCAAAGCACCTCAGGGGTCCATGCAGGGCCCTACAGCCAGTGTCCTCCTATCAGACCTGTGGTTAGGATGGGCAGTCGTGAAGAAAATGGACACTTCTAACAAATGACTCCTCTCTTTTTTCTTAAGCCTTATGCTCAAGCCTACATCAAATGCATTTAATGTACGTTATCCACTTAGATGGCTCAGTGGGTAAAGGCACCTGTGCCAAACCTAATGACCTGAGTTCAATTTATGGGATCTACAATGGTGGAGGAACAGAAATGGCTCTTGTAAACTGCCCTCTGACCTCCACCCACATGCTGTTTCATGCATGTGCCCACCCACAAACACATAAAGTAAACAAAAATATAACTAAGAGTAACATCTGGGCAGTGGTGCCGCAAGCGGTCTTTACTTCCCGAGTGCTGGATTACAGGTGAGTCAGTGTACCAGGTTCTTCTGGAGATTTCTTCAAGATCTACAGGGCTATCAATCCCTTTGCCTTACAAACCTTGGGAACCACAAGCAGCCCAGCTGAGCCCCGCCCTCGCCCCACCCCACCCCACCCCACCTCACCTCTAGCCCCACCTCTGAAATCGTCAGCAACCAGCTAAAGCCCCATCTTGGCCGACACCGCCTTCCGGTTCCACCCCTCTTCCCCGCGGGTTCCTGTCTCGGTCAGCACTGAGAACTCTGACTCCGCCTATTACCACGCCCCTCCATCCTAAGTGCCAGTAGCGTCCGCTTTCGGCGATGGCCACTCCTCCTCCCCGTTCCTTGCATCTGGCCCCGCCCCGGTCCCGCCCGACCTCTGTCGCGTCGCACGCGACCCCGGCTGCAGCAGCGGCGACAGCGCTTGGCGCGCAGAGTTGCAGCCATGGCTGTCGCTGTCGAGGGCACCCGCAGGAAAGAGCGCATCCTCTGCCTGTTTGACGTGGACGGGACCCTCACGCCAGCTCGCCAGGTAAGGGCTCCGAGGTTTGGCAGCTCCCGCCGAGTGTCACGCGGATATCCGTGATCTAGCATGAAGTGGGCAGCAACGTGATCGCGAACACCCACGCGACCGGGTGTGAAATGTGGAACGCGGTGGTCGCGCCCCTGTCAGCGAGGAGATGGGACCCAGGGCCCCCAGGCCTTCCAAGCCGCAGCGCTCCGCGTGTGAGCGCTCGAGTGCTTCCCGAGAGCGCTGAGACTGGATCCAGGCCTGGGAGGAACGACTATGGGTGGGAGGCCAGGTGTCCCGGGCCCAAGGCTTCCACCGGCCCACGCTGGCGTCTGGGATACTCCCACCCTGTTTCAACCCTGGGATGCACAACTAGCCAGTCCTCAAGCTTTCGTAAGAACGCGGAGTCCAGGCAGATCTCGGTGCTCTTCAAAGCCTTCAGTCGCCCTCTAGTGAAGGCAAAAGCCTTCGCCCTGGCGTCCACAGACCTAACCCTGGGTTTAGTTTCTTAAGCCTCTTCAGGGTTTTACCTTCCACCTCAGGTCGGAGGGAGAAACCTGCTTTTTTAGTAAGTTTTGCTTTTTATTAGTCCTGTCGTTTTGGCTCCACGCATGTGAAGTGAGAGGCTCCAGGGCTAGTCTAATTACAAGAGGGTCACTGAGTCACAGTAAAAATGGCAGTGTATTTTCTTTCTACCTGCACTTTATGGTTCAGCCTCCCACCTTTGCTCTTACTCAGTTTTTCTCCCTTTGTCTCATCCTGGGTCGTTCCTGCACATCCTTCTAGTAGTTCACTTTCCCTTGCGGGGCGGGGATAATGGGGATGGCCTGAAAATTCGTCCCGAACAGAAGCTGGTGGGGACCTAAGTCTTAGGCTCCAGATGATAGCCCCTTCCATCTCTAGAAGGGATCAACCACCTTTCCATCATGGGTGGATCAGGAATGAAGGTCTCAGGATCGGAAGAGGGTGGTCCCGCCTAGGCATGCCTCTCCTGACCCTGTGCGGCACTGACGTGGCAAGGCCTGAACAAAAACTGCTTGCCAATTTGTTTACTGCTAGGCTGTTAATTTTTAATTGTACATGCGTTCACTAGTGCATTTTTTTTTTAGTAAAAAAGAAAAAAAAATGCAAACATTAAAGGCTAAAGACCACTTAGACTTCACCAGTATCCTAGGGCCAGCCTCTCCTCCCCAAGGTAATATGTCTATGTGGTATGGCTTCTCTTGGTGCTTTCATCTGGGTCTCTCTGCCCATAGAAAATATTAGATGTTATTTTTGTTAGGCTGTGTTAGTGACTTGTGGCTCTCTACAACTTGCTTGAGACCCTGCCTCGTTAGAAGCACAGATCTGGCCTTATCTGTACCCTTGCCAAGGAAGCAAAGCATGTGTCATTGTTTGGCTGATAAGCATGGGAGTTGCTTGCAGTTTTCACTATTATAAACTATACCCCGAGGAACTGGTGTATGTGCCTTAGACGAGAAGTTGAAATACTGTTTGACCCGGCAGTGGATCAGCCAGGCCTTGGTGGCTGGGACACTCCTTTAGTCCCAGCACTCAGGAGGCAGAAGCAGGCAGATCTCTGGGTTCAAGGCCAGCCTAGTTTCAGGACAGGCTCCAAAGTAATACAGAGAAACCCTGGCTCAAAAAAAAAAAAAAAAAAAAAAAAAAAAAAGGTTCAGTGGATCTTGCCAAATGCTATCCAAAACAATTGTACCAACTTACTTCAATGGAGAACACTTTGGGAGTCCTGTTCCCCTCTACCATTGCCTCTTTGATATCTGAATATATCAAAGTTTGAGTTCTGACTCTTCAGGATTCCTTAGTGGAGAATCTTGATGCACTTTGAACAAATTGTTTCGTTTAAAAATAACTGATTCCCCTTAAAGTGGCTCCCACTGTGGTAGACATGTTTTAAAAGGGGAAATGAGGCAAAGAAAGGTCTCTGGTAACTCAGCTTAGCAGGGGGAATTTCTGAGGTCTCTGCCTTGTGCAAGTGAACAGTCTTTTATTTGAAAGGTTTGCAACTAGAAATTTTGTGGTTTAGCATGTTTTTCAGATTCTGAACATATGTATACATAATGAGTTATGGTGATAGGATGGACCCACACAAAATTTGTGTTTATAACTGATAAACAGCCTAAAGCAACTTCTAATATTCTCAAAATTCTTGCCAGGCAATTGTGGTGCTGCGTTTAATTCCAGCACTCAGTAGGAAGAGGCAGGCGGATCTCTGAGTTCAAGGTCAGCCTGGTCTACAAAGCTAGTTCCAGGACAGGCTCCAAAGCTACAAGAAAATAAATGTATTCTTTTAGGCCAGGCAGTGGTGCAGGAGGTCCTCCTTGGGATTGAACTCAGGTTATTAGGTCTCAAGGCAAGTTCCTCCACCAGGAAGTGCTCTGCCATGAGGATATATTCCCACCCTATTTTGAGTAATATTTTTACTTGTCTTGGTTGCAACACTTCACTTGATCATCTGTGAAATTCTCCACTTTGGACATTGTGTTAGTGCTCAAGCAGTTTTGCATTTCACAATTCTGGCTTTTTAAGTAGGGGTGCTTAGATTCAGGTGGAAGGTGGGCTCCCTGATCCTGAGCACTAGGAGTCAAGTAGAGGTCTAGACATTTTTAAGACAGGGTTTCACAGCCAGGGTGTGGTGGTTTACACCTTTAGTCCCAGCACTCAGGCAGAGAGGCAGATGAATATCTGAGTTCCAGACCAGCCTGGTCTACAAGAGCTAGTTTCAGGATAGCCTCAAAGCCACAGAGAAACCCTGCTCAAAAACAAAAAAAAAAAAAGGAAAAAGACAGGGTTTCTCTGTGTAGCCCTGGCTGGCCTTGAACTCAGATCCTCCTGCCTCTGACTCCTGAGTGCTAGGATTAAAGGTGCATGCCATCACCACCCAACCTGAAGTCCTAGATTTTGTTGTTTTTTTTTGGAGATAAGGTTTCTCTGTGTAACAGCTCTGGCTGACCTAGAACTAGCTCTATAGACCAGGCTGGCCTCTGCCTCCCAAGTGCTGGGATTAAAGGCATGTATCTCAATCTTTGATAACCAGAGTCTTTTTGTCCTTCCTGTCCCCCACAGAAAATTGACCCTGAGGTATCAGCCTTCCTGCAGAAGCTTCGAAGTAGGGTGCAGATTGGCGTGGTGGGTGGCTCTGACTACTCAAAGATCGCTGAGCAGCTGGGTGATGGGGATGAAGGTAGGAATGGGGGACATCTTTTCAAGCTGGGGTTGGGTGGGGTTGAAGGAGGGTGGAGCTGGATATTTCTGCTTCTGTGGGGCAGAAGAGGTGGAGAAGGGACAGACCGATGCCTCCACCCTGAACAGACATTTAGTGAGCACCTGTCAGAAGCCACTGTGCTAATTTCTGGTAAGTCAGCTAGAAGCAGAGTGGCAGCATCCTGTCCTTAGGCGGTACACATTCTCATTTCTCCCTGCTGGGTCTTGATTTCCATTTGTTTATTGCTTCTTATGTCGGTCAGCACTTGGGAGTCAGAGGCAGGCGGATCACTGTGAGTTTAAGGTGAGCCTGGTGTACAGAGCTAGTTCCTGGACAGCCAGAGCTGTTTCATAAAGAACCCCTATCTTGAAAAACAAAAGACAAAAACCCTAAAACCCTTCCCCCTTATCCCTTTACCTTACCCCTCATTTATTCACCAGCAAGTAGAAACTCTCTGCTATCTGTCTGCGTCCCCCTTTTCCCACACCCATAGCCTCACTCATCATCGTCTACTACCCAGACACTACAGGGCACCCAGAGCTGGAAACTGCTGTGCCGACCCTGTGGGCAACAGAGAGGGAGACAGAAAGGAGAGTGGAGTCTTTGGGTGGGGGGTATGGGAAGGCTGCTGGAGCAGGGTGGAAACCGTGCCCTCTCTTGGCATTCCTGGAAAATCTGCTAGAGGAGGGAGCTGGATGCTGGAGGATGAGAAGGCCTAGAGGAGTGACTGGCTGGTGCATAAGAATACAAAGGTGCAGGAGGAAAGGAGGCCAGGAAAGCCGGTTTAGGGTGGAAAAGTGGGTGCAGACTGCCAAGCCAAACAGCTGGGCCCTCGTCCCCAGCGCTTGCTCTGGAGTGACTGTGTGTCCTTGTCTCATGCCCTTTCTTTCTCTCCGGCTTCTCCATGGGTCTCCATCAAGTCATTGAGAATTTTGATTATGTGTTTGCCGAGAATGGAACAGTGCAGTACAAGCATGGACGGCTACTCTCCAAGCAGGTCAGTGTCCCCAGGCCTTAGCTGGGGTGCCCACTTTTCCAAGCTAGGTTCTATCTGTCTTGTGTGCCACAGTTCAAGCCTTGTGTTCCTTACACAGACGATCCAGAGCCACCTGGGGGAGGAGCTACTGCAGGACTTGATCAACTTCTGTCTTAGTTACATGGCTCTGCTCAGATTGCCCAAGAAGCGGTGAGGCCCCCATTGAGCTGGGTTTGGGGGAAAAGGGTGGGAGTCCTTCCTAGAACCCCTGAATTTTTTATTTCTGAACTGAGGTCAGAACCCAGGAAAATTGCCCATGCCAGGCAAGTGTTCTACCAATTATCTATACCCCCCCCAGGTCCAGGACCCTAACTTATACGTGGGTGGTTTCTTATACCCTGTGAAATCCAAGGAGACTGGTTCTAGATAGGATTTGAATTCAAAGTTGTTCTTCTCTCCTCCCTGAGGCTTCTTGCTCTCAAACCCCTTTCCCTTATCACTCCTAGGGGAACCTTCATAGAGTTCCGGAATGGCATGCTGAACATCTCGCCCATTGGCCGCAGCTGTACCCTGGAGGAGAGGATTGAGTTCTCTGAACTGGACAAGGTGCCATTTACTGAGCAGCTGTAGGCCCATATGAGCTACTGTCACTCAACACTCTGAGCTTTACTTTCTCATCAGTAAAATGGGTTTTTGAGGCAGAATCTTGAGTTCACACTTGGGGCACCTGCTGTGTGTCATTTCTGTGGACACATCAGCCTCTTTCTGTCACTACTGGTCTCTTCCCTGGTAACCTGTGCCACCAGCCCCTAGTGACCCACTCTATGGCCTCAGTACCATTGCCACATTCATACCCACACCAGAACCAACAACTCTAGGTTCCCATCTGCTTGTCCTCACGAGCTAACGTGTCTCTTCCAGTTTACCCCAGTCCCTTCCTTTGTCCTTTGAGAACTAAAACACATCAGCCTATATCTCCCCAGTGACAAGCCTTCTGTGGCTGGCCAGTGCTGGCTGGGCAGCATCTCAAGCTCCTCACAGCCCTGAGGCCTTTGTCTGCCCTCCTACTAACCTTTTCAGCCTTCTGTCTATGATGTCACGTTTTCACTTGCATCCAGAATTTTCAAGTTTTCTTAAATGGCCAGATTTTCTTTTTGTTGGTATTCACCCAGGTTGGCCTTGAACTTGTGCTCTCCCTTAGCTTCTCAAATGCTGGGGTTACAAGTGTGTGCCAACATACTCAGCTTATACACCATCTCCTTTAACATTACCCTGCATTTTGCGTGGTCCTTGATCACCACCTGTTTCAGGGGTGGCATGAGTTCATCCATCCATGCTCTCATGTGCTTCATCCATGTTCTCACTCAGCAGCTGCTCTTCCCTTGCTCCCTGTTGCAGCCATGACTTCTGCTCATTTCTAGGAATGCCATTTCCTCGGCACTGGGCCTTCTGCCAGACACACACTGTCCAGACCAGGCTGTCCTGTCCTCCTCTTCTCCACCCTCGCTACTCCTGCCATGTCCAGACCCAAACCCCTTACATGTCCCATGCAGAGACCCCTGGTTCTGGGGATGGATCCCAGGGTCTCATACATGCTAGGCAAGTACCCTACCACTGACCCACAACACCCCCACACTAAGAAACATTTTCTTTTTGAAACAATGTCTTAATGTGCAGGCTGGCCTCCAACTTGAGGCTTCCTGTTGGCTGGTATTATAGGTGTGTCCCACCGTGCCTACCTGCCATGAAATGCTTTTGAATGAATGAACAGGTGTTTTATTCCCATTGTATTGATGTGGAAACCAAGGCTCAGAGAAGTGACTTTCATCCCAGGTCACATAGGGAGTTGGTTGCAGAGCGTAGTTGTGACATAGCTGACTGGTCCTGGGTGCTTCCCTGACAGTGGTTGGGTCTTGATGTTGCAACTCCCACAGTGCACAGAGGCCGGCCTACAGGGGGCAGTAGACACAGGAATAAGGGACTTTTCCTGTTGGGATAGTTGGGACTGATCATTGACAACCTTGCAGCCAGGGGGCCCCTTCCCATGTTTCTCAGGTAGTCTCAGCTCTACTTCCTATTTACCTAGTAAGATTGGAAAGGCAGCTTTACAGACCAGATGGGGATGAAGAACAGGTAATGAACCTGGCCTGGAGCAGAAGGGGGAGGCTGGGATTTGGCTGGCAGGCATCCCAGTCCCTTCCCTCATCTGTGGTTCTTTATCCCCTCCTCTGGGATGTGTGGATGTGTTCTGAGAACTGTGTTCCTGTACACAGTCCGAATGGCACAGGCCTACTTTAAACCTCCTGCAGACTCCAGGGAGGGGTGGTGAGGTGCCTTCCTGCGGAGCTTAGTTAGCTAGGGTCATCAAGTTGGACATGTTAGGGCTGGACTTGGCACATGAAGCTGTCCAACCAATGACCAGCTATCAGCTAAAGGAGGGAAGTACAGCCCCCAGCCCTGGGCTCAGAGTGAGCACCCAGGGTGCTTGCTGTCCCTGAGGCATACCACCTGCTAGGAAGGTAAAGTCTAGGCCAGCAGGGGGCACACATCTCTCAGCTCTTGTTTCCTTGAGGGAGAAGCAGAGGGTGGCCACTAATTCCCTATCATTTAGTTCTGTAAATGGGCTCAGAGAGGTCAGGTAACTTGCCTAGGGCCACAAAGCTAACAGCATAGCCACCAGGCCTGGAACCCAGTCAGCCTGTAGATCTCAGGCAGGGTCCTGCCTCACTTGATACTACTCTCGTGTCCTCCCCTTCTTAAGCCTCCAAACCCCTATTGGTGGGGGTCACTGATTTCTGGGTCTCAGCCCCAGCACTGACCTCCCATTTCCTCATCTGTAAAGTGGGGGCCGTATTCGCCCAGAAGACCTGGGAGCTGGTGAGGGTTCCAGGTGTGGTATATAGTAGGCCCTCTGAGCCAATATGCACCCCTTCCCTGTGCAGAAGGAGAAGATTCGGGAGAAGTTTGTGGAAGCCCTGAAGACAGAGTTTGCTGGCAAGGGGCTGCGGTTCTCCCGAGGTATGTCTTTCCTGTGGTGGGCTCAGGCACAGCAACGGACACCATTTACCTATCCAATTGTGCCCAATGGGTACCTGGTGTTGAGTGGTCCCTACCCTTCCCATGCCTAGTCCAACTGGCTTGAACATCAGTCAAGGGCTCTGCGGATCTTTCCAAAGCTGACTGACTCACCCTTTGCCACCAGCTGCTCCCCTGAGGTGCCTGGGGCATATGGTATCCCAGCTGCCATCTCAGCTCGTTCTCCAGTAGCCAGAGGGGAGGACAGATGCCATGATCACTTAGAACCTACAGTTGTGTCCCAGCTTACGTTACCTTGGGTCTCCCTGGCCATCCCTGCAGATCCCAAGTCTGCCCTTATTAGTTTTCAGGGTTGTTGAATGAACAAAGTGCTTTAGAGCCAGACGTGCTACCATGTGTTTGTAATCCCAGCACTTGAGGTAGAACAGGAAGATGGGGAATTCAAGGCCATCCTTGGCCACATAATACAAAGCCAAACTGGGTACAGGAGACTGTCGAAAAAACAAAGCATGATTTGCCCAAAGTTAGCCTCGTGAGCTTCCCTGACAAGCTGCTAGTCTTGTCTGTCCATCTCAGGATTTTGTCATGACTCCCACACACTCGTCCACAGGAGGCATGATAAGCTTCGATGTCTTCCCTGAGGGCTGGGATAAGCGCTACTGCCTTGATAGTCTGGACGAGGACAGCTTCGACATCATCCACTTCTTTGGCAATGAGACCAGTCCTGTAAGTGTGACCCTGCCCAGTTCCCTTCAACCCAAAGCACCTGAGGTCAAGGCCAGGACACAGGGCAATAGAGCAGAGACCTCTCTCAGAGCTTCCCAGAAGACATTCAGCGTTCCCACTCTACAGTTGAGAAGACTGGGACCCAAAGATACTTACTTGTTCCATGTTATATAGCAAGTCAGGGCAGGTCTGAGAAGCCAGGATAGTGGGGTTCCTGGCAGGTCTGAGAAGGGCAAGTCTGCAGGAGCCAGTATGATAAGTGTGGCTCTTGGGCCTCAATCCTGGGCACCTCCTGTCCTGTAGGCATCACCTAAGATCATATCTTTTCTGTCTGTCCTTCCTCTGAATGCAGGGTGGGAATGACTTTGAGATCTATGCAGACCCCCGGACTGTCGGCCATAGTGTGGTCTCCCCTCAGGATACTGTACAACGATGCCGAGAACTTTTCTTCCCAGAGACAGCGCATGAGGCATGATGGTGGCCACAGCTAAGCATTGGGACCTTCAAAGAGCTCTGGTCAGGCCTGAAGAGAGAACCATGGGGTGCCAAGGTTCCCATTCCTCTGGACCAGCATGTAGCATCATGTGGAGCACCACAAGGCCTACCCGCACAGGACCAGAGTCCATGGCAACTGTCCCCTGCCAGCTGGCTCCCAATAAGACTTTCCTGCACTGCTGGCCCCTGGCTTCTGATGCTGCTGGTCTTTGGGACAGGCCTGCCTTTAATCCCAGTACTCGGGAAGCAGAGGCAGGTGGATCTCTGTGAGTTTGAGGCCAGCCTGGTCTACAAAACTGCATAGAGAAACCCTGTCCCAAAAGACTTTAAAAAAAAAAAAAAAAAGTAGTTTTCTCCCCAGAGGGAGGCAGGTGAGTTATGCTATGGAACCTGCTGGCCACAAAGGGGAAGAGAAGTGGCAGAGAAGGGACTGTCACAGATTAAAGTATCTGAATCTATGATGGTTCCTGTCACATGCTCTTCAGTTTGGGGACAGGGGCTTGTCCAGGAGGTCTTTGACCCATTGAATTCCCAAACATGGCCAACATGCTATGTCCTTCCTCAGCTCCTTCCCAAAGGACTCTCACAGACAGCACTCACAGGTAGGGTGGGTCACAGTTGAGTTTATTGCCAGTGTTAGGAGGGATGGGTGATCTGTGGCTGGGGACTTGGTACTGTAGGGCCTGAGAGTAGAGAGGAGGCCCTACCACTCAAAATGATGCTTGAAGAAGGGCCTGCTCACAGGAGGGAGTCCTGGGTGACCCTGGGGTCCACCTGTACCAACAAGTTCCCTGTACAGGATCTGCCTGTCTCTGCCACCCATTGCTGGGTGACAGGTGAATTAGGGATTTGAACTCAGGTCCTCAGGCTTACAGAGGACAGTTCTTCATGGACAGGCCTTGCTAGAGAAGCCTAGTTCACAGTGGGGTGTCAATAGGTAGGCCTTTTCCAATGTGAGGGACTAGCCAACCATTTTTAGCAGTTTCTAGGTTGCTGGCCTCTGTGCAAAGGGTTCTAGGACTAAGTGGGGTACAAGCACCCCAAATGACTACCCTGTGGTCCTGGAACACATACAAGGCCACCTAGACAATCACTGACCCCTTCATCCTGGGCATCTGGGCCCACATCTTTATTGCAGATTGGGTGTCATAAGGGTCACTGTTGGGGCAGGTCCTTCTTGAGTCTGTAATCCCACTTATCCCGTTAGGTAACCCACCTTTGTAGAAGGGATACATCTTAGCCCCAAAAGGACTCCAGGTAAGAGGGGCAGTCATACTTGAGGGATGGATGAGAGCTACCTCAGCTACTGATCTGTCAGGGATCAATCTATAGGAGTCATTTTTAATGCTTTGGGAAGAAGGTCTAATTTGCAGTAGGGGGCAAAATCATTCTTTTGGATGCCTGGACCTATCCTTGTCCAAGGTGACATGTGAGTTCATTGCTGCATCCTCAGCTACTGTCATGGCCAGCACTGGGCAGGGCATCCACAGTTTGTGCATGGTTGTGTCCAAGCTGGAGGAAATTATGTCCCCATCTCACCATGGGGAGGGGATGAGTGTGGCTCCCACTGCTCAGAAAGGAACCCAGGTCCCTGGGGTTCAGAGGAGCCCCTGCCGGCTGAGGAGCACCTACATTCCTTCCTGCTCAGCTCCGCTCACTCCAGGCCACCAAAAGGATGCAGTCAGGAAGATGAGCCAGGTTATGGCAGGGGCTGGCCATGAACCTCTGTGTTTTGCCCACTTCCTAAAGTTGGAGGCCCCTAGAAAGCACTCAAGGCCTGGCCACTGAGATGAAGGAGGCTGTAGCAGACAACTAGGTCTAGCACAGGAGACAGGAGCACAAGCAGACGGGGCTAAGTTCTGGACTGAGTGGATCTGAGGACAGCAGTGAGGAACAGGCTCTTGGGAGGAGGGTTTCCCTGGGTTCTCAAGTAGACAACACAGGCCCACAGAGACTTAGTATATAGATAGGTGGGCTAAAGGGTGAGAAGGTCCTGTGTTTCCATGGCAGGATTGGAGGAAGGAGAAACAGGCCAACGCAGAAGTGGTGGCTGCACTCCATCCAACCCTAGCCAGATCACGCAAGTCATGGGTCACAGGTGGGCAGAAGCACACATTCACGGCCACAAGCACAGACAAACGAGCACACCCAAGGGCTGGTCAGCAGCGCAGTGGGAGCACAGAGCTGGCCGCTGCCTGCCTCGTGGAGACTCCCCCCAGCTGTCTAGGATCCCACAACCTGGCCGGACCATGTCTCGTGTGGAGTATGGGGGGCCAACTGGGTGAGCACCACCTCTACGGCCTGAAACTTCTGGTTCTTGGGTGGGATGGGACACATCTTGTAAGTCACCTCGTCGCCTTCCACAGGGACATACTCGCCCTCGATGCTGGTGGACAGAAAGGGAAGGATCAGTGCAGCAGCAGACCAGTCCCCAGACAGCACTGTGGCCCCCTAGCCTCCCTAGACCAGGAGGCCCCTTGAAATTCTGGGGACTGGGAGGAACAGGTCTGGCTCTCAGGACCCCCATGATCTTAGCATAGGACCCTGCACCTCAGCAGTGATTACCAGGGGTTCCGGGGACTGCCAGCTGATTCCTAACTGACCCAGCACTCCTCAGAGCAGGGATAGCCAGCAGGAACACCCACCTCAGCAGCTAGGGGAGGATCAGGGAGACTGGACACTAGAGCAGCCCCTCCCCCAACCAGAAACACGGAAGTGGAGGGGACTCACTCAGAAACATGCACGAAGATGTCCTCAGAACCATTTTCCGGGGTGATGAAGCCATGGCCTTGTGAGCGTGAGAACTGCTTACAGACACCTTTGAACACGGGGCCAGCAGAGGCTCTAGCTGTCCTGGGGAGAGGGTAGGAAGATTGGAGCTGTGGTGTGGAGAGCCGGGCCTGTTTTTAGACCAACAATACTGCCCTTGGGCAGATAACAAAGCCTAGGGCCCAGAGCAGGGCAATGGCCTGCCCAGTGTCTCTCAGTGTAGGGCAAGGGCATCTCCTGGTTCCTTGTCAGTATCCCTCTAAATAGCACCCTCCATCCAGATGTTTAGGCTTAAATGGCTTCCGCTTGTATTTCTGAGTGAAGCTAAGGGTATAGCTCAGTGGTGGAGAGTTTGCCTGCCATATGTAAGGCTCAGGTTCCATCCTCAGAACCAATAAATAAGTTAATTTTTAAAAATCTAAACCTAAGAGGCACCTCAGCATCTCGTGCCAGCTATAGTGCCACCAGTCACTAAGTTTCATGTGCTATGAAGTGTCTGCTATGTCCTTGGGTCACACACAGGACAATGCATGCTTGATATGCCGAGCAGTAATGATAATAAAAGCCTGCACCAGGCACAGAAGTGCATGCCTGCAACCCCAGCATTCACGAATCTGGAGTAAGACCATCAGCACCACTTCAAAGCCTGTTTCAAGGAACAGCCGTGAGGAGGTGGCTCAGGGAGCAAAAATGCAGTTGTTGCCAAGACCAACCACCTGAGTCTGAGCCCCAGAGCCCACTCCTGACAAGTTTTCTGACCTACACACACACACACACACACACAGAGGCTGCAGTAGGTACACACGTGCACACACACCAACAATAAATTAAAACCCTTTGGCTCCCATAGACCTTCCCCATCCGGCCTTACCTAGTCACCCTTCCCCCTGGCGGTCCACCATCCTCCCCTAAAGGTTAACTGTATGCTGTTCCACTTGCAGCACTCAATTCCCTTTATTTTATTTTTGAGATGGTCTAACTTTATGTCTAGGCTATGTATCTCAAGTCCCTTCTTTGCCTGAAGCATCTTCAAACTCAGCTAGGATGTCCTAATTAACCACACCCCAGGCTAAGTCCTTACCTAGTATTCAAAACCCTTGCGAATTGTAGACATGTTTTGTTCATCCCTTAAGTTCCAGTGAGAGCTCGATAACTGTGGAATGAAGGAATGAGTGAAGGGACACTGACCTGGAGAAAGTTCATGGGACCTAGGAAAGGGGAAGGTACTCACGCTGAGTATGTCCTGGTCCTTTTGGTAGGCAGAGGGCTGGGCAGGTCCCGAGGTGCAATACCACCACCACGTTCCCAGACCCTGCTTCCCTCCCTGTGGAAGGGGAAAGTGGGCCAGACAGGGGACTTGGGGGAGTGGAGAGGCGGCACCACTGGGGGTGATGTCGGCTCTGACGTCATGGTGGCGTCAGTGCGAGAGCCTGGAAGGCTCTGGGGCACAGGGGCTGGTGAAGGACTCTGGGATCCTTTTGGGCAGGGCCCAGCCTTGCCCTGCTCAGTGGTTTCACCAGCTATGGACTCCGTCTATGAGAGAAGAGAGAAACACAGTTAAATGCAGCCTGAAAGAGCTCTGGATACTAGACACAAGTTGAGAGGACTGCTGAGGCTAGCAACTTCCAAAGGCATTCTACAGCCCCACCCTGCCTCAGTACCCTCACCAGGAAGAGAAAATAACCAAAATAACCGTGTGTGTGTGTGTGTGTGTGTGTGTGTGTGTGTGTGTGTGTGAGAGAGAGAGAGAGAGAGAGAGACGCTTTAAGCTCCAACACCAAAATGAAATAAAGGATTGGTGAAGTAGATCAGCTAGTAGAGTGCTTGCTGAGCCAATACCACAAAACCAGGCATGGGTCTGCCATAGTGGCCCGTGCCTTTAATCCCAGTACTCTGGAGGCAGAGGCAGATGGATCTCTGTGTTCAAGGCCATCCTGGTCTACATAGTGAGTTCCAGGACAGCCAGGGCTATGAAGAGAGACCCTGTATCAAAAAGCCAAAAAAAGAAAATACATACACACATACACACGCAGCAGGTACAATAGTGCACCTGTGTAATAACCCTGGCACACACAGGCAGCAGCAGAAAGGTTAGAAGTTCACGAAGTTCACCATTGCCCCAGATTCCAAAGTAAACCTGGTCTATGTGGGACCCTGTGTCACAAAAAGAAAAAAGAAAAAAAAAAAAAAAACACAAAACAAAAACAAAAAACAGGACCTGCTTTAGAATCCCTAAATTCAGCTAGTTGTGGTGGCACACACCTTTAATCCCAGCACTCCAGAGGTAGAGGCAGGAGTATGTCTCAGTTCAAGACCAACCTGGTCTACAAAGAGACTTCAAGACAGTCAGAGATACACAGAGAAACCTGTCTCAGAAAACAAAATAAAAAGAATCCCTAAGTTTTTCAGCTTGCAGTTTAATTCTATAATTCAGGGGTCTGGAGGTGGGACATGCGGTGGCCAAGGTTTGGCATAAATGTTAGTGGTTTCAAATGCACACATAGCCCTGGGGCCAGATTTTAAGCCTATGTTTTGGTGACCTCCCAGCAGTGGCCACCTGTCAAGAAGTGTGGGCTGTACTGGCTGAATGGCCCCAGTCAATACTCTTAACCTTTGATGTCATTTCCTGCTCTGCACAGTGGGTAGTGTTGGTTCCTGTTTGTAGGGAAGTTACCCTGAGGCCCAAATGCCATTCAATATGCCACAAAACAGGAGCAGCAAGCACATGGTGAACTCTTGGGAATGTGGTCTATTTTTCATTAATCCAGTTTCTGCCTCTCAAAATGAGGTTGAAGGACCGGGGATGCAGCTCAGTTAAGTGCACTTAGCATGCTCAAAATGTTGAGGTCAATTCCCATCCAGCAGGATGGGGTGGGGTAAGGGAGCAGCCCAGAGCCCCACAAGAGACTGGTAATTCCCCAGGGAGGCGGTATCTGCTGAGATCCAGTGATATAGTTCCTATCTATGAGCATCAGTAGATACCGACCTCATTTTTCTAAGTTATTTCATTGTCCTTCGTTGTGATATTTAGGGTCTTGAAGACCTTGGGAAAACATACTTGTATTAAGGAAGACTAACCCTTCTCATGTCCCACCCTTTCTCCCTCAAAAGTTTAGTTGTCATGGAGCCTAAGAGTGACTGGGGAGAGATGGTGGCCTGCAGGTCTCAGACCTCAGGACCAGGAGACCTCCAGTGCTGCTACTGCTAGCTGCTGACCCTGGGACTCAGTTCCACAGGCCTCAGTTTTCTCATCTGTGCGATGGGACCGACGAACCTTTCCCCTCACTCTCTCACTGGTCACCCTGAAGTTTGGCTGGGCCCTTCCTTAAGTACAGTTACAAAGAAAGGAGCAGGGGCAGGTCCCCACTTTCCCAACTCTTTTCTCCTCCCCTGCATTATCATTAAACCGTCACTGATCTGCGTCTCTAGCTCTTCAGCCATTTTGTTTGTTTTGTTTTTCCAGACAGGGTTTCTCTGTGTAGCCCTGACTGTCCTGGAACTCGCTCTGTAGACCAGGCTGGACTTGAACTCAGAGATCAGTCTGCCTCTGCCTCTGCCTCTCTAGTGCTGGGATTAAAGGCGTGCGCCACCACTGCCCTGCTAAGTAAGAACCATATTGCCCAGGTTCGTTCACCTTCTCCCAATAAAGGCTCCACCACTGAGATTTGCACCCAAGGACCCATCCCCCTTTTCTTCAAACCAAGTCCTCATGTTTGCTTGGGAAAGCTTTCCTACTCCACACTCCCTGTCCCTCAGCCATTGCACGCTTTAGAGGAAAACAAACAAATACAAATGAACAACCCCAACCCCACCCCTAATCAGAAGCTTCAGGCAAACCATGGAGACTCACATGGGCAATCCTAATGCTCCTGAGGCTGGGACAGAAGTTCTAGGAGGCTGTAAATTCAAGGCTAGTCTGGGCTATAGAGTAAGATCCCTGTCTCAAACAAAACTCAAAACTCAAAAAAAAAAAAAATAAATAAAATAAAAAAAGAAAGAAGAAAGAGACAGATAGAAGGGAGGGCAGGGAGGAAGACTGGCTCAAAAGTCAGTGACTTTAAGTAAAGAACATTTAATGCTCTTGCAGAGGACCCCAGATTGTGTTCCTAGCACCCACACCGTAGCTCAAAAGTATCTGTAACTCCAGTTCCAGGGGATCTGATGCCCTCTTCTGGTTTTGATGGGTACTTCATGCACTCTGTAGGGCAAGCCAGCAATCTACCAGCCATAGGATAAAACGTGGGCCCTAAGCAGGCATGAAATACTGCTTCCTGTCACAACACAAATGAACCTGGAGGACACCTCAGAAGAAGCAGTTTCAATAGCACACATCGGGTGGATTTGCTGTCGGGGGAGGGGGATGTGGGTGACTAATGTTAGGTCGTTTCTTTTAGGGTGCTGACTACTAAAAAAACCTTCATTCAGTAAGCACTGTAGTAACAGTCGGTGAATCCACTGAGGTTCGTGGGTTTGTTTGTTTTTGTTTTCCTGGTGCTGGGCATGGTTGCCAACTAGGCAAGCTCTGGACCACTGAGCTCCACCCCGATTCCAAACAAACTATATAAAGATGAGGCAGGCACCAAAGTCCCAGGGTCACCCAGCCGGAGAAGCTCTGTTCCCAGGCCCTGGGTCCCCTCTTGGTGAAGGAGACGTAGTGGAGACATCCCTGCTTCCTCTGTGGGCACCGGGGCCACTGAACCTCCCCACTACAGTTTCCTAAGGCCTGGTGGCGTGCTGGTCATCAGCAGCTAGCACTGGGAGGTGAGTAGCCGATGAGATTGGGAGGAGCCACCATGGTTTCCAAGGAGGGGATGACAGTGCCTGCAGGGCGCCAGCAACACACCAGTGAGCTGCCAGTGAGAAGGGACGTCTCACTGCTACCAGGGCGAGCTCTGGAAGTGACTCAGAGGCAGCAGCAGGGCATGGGGCAGGCCTTCCAGGGCCGGGCCTCATCGACCCAGGTAGGGAGCTGAATGGGAACAGGTCCTCCCTCCTCAGCGGCTCTTCTGAAGGACGTAAATGTGGGAGTGCTGGGAGGGTGCTGCACCCTGGGGATTTAGGTCCTTAGATAGGACTTGTTCCTGACTGAGGGTCCTCTATTCTCCTACCCACCCCCTTTAAGGACTGTTCCTCTGCTCCTGGCTGGCTTCGCTGTCCCACAGCTCCTTTTCCTTGGTTTAAATCCTGCAGCACTACTTAAAGCTAGTGTTATTACCCCACTTTACAGACAAGAAAACTGAGACTCAGGTTAAATCAATCAAGGGCACAATGTCTGAGGCAGAATCTAAACCAGGACTGACTGACTCTGGGGTTTCAAAGTGGTAAGTCATGACACAGAGGGGTGTGTGTGTGTGTGTGTGTGTGTGTGTGTGTGTGTGTGTGTTTCACATGATGTGTATGCATGGGTGTGAAGTCCACAGGTTCATGTTGAGTGTCTTCCTCATTTGCTGGCCACTTTATTTGTCAAAACAAAGTGTTGTTCTCTAAGCCCAGTGCTCACTGGTATGGTAGCCAGTGAACTTCAGGGATCCCCCTGCCTCTACCCTCTAGTGCTGGGTTACAGAGTTACTCTGATGGGCTTGGCTTTTTGCATAGGTGTTGGGGATCAAACTCAGGCTGCCCTGCTTGAATAGCAGTTACTTTACTCATTGAGTTAACCCCAGGCCCCCTTTTTGCTTTTTTTATTTGGAGTTGGGGAGGGTTAGAGTCTCACTATACCAGTTGGCCTGGAACTTCCTATGTAACCCAAACTGGTCTAGAATTTACAATCCTTCTGTCTCAGCCTCCCATGCCCTGGGATTATAGGCCTTCTCCACAACGCCTGGCTACTTTTACTTCTTCTTTTTAAAGATTTCTTTTATTTGCCAGGCAGTGGTAGAGTACGTCTTTAGTCCCAGCACTCGGGAGGCAAAGGTAGGTGGATCTTTGTGAGTTCGAGGCCAGCCTGGTCTACAGAGTTCCATTACAGCCAGGACTACACAGAGAAACCATGTCTTTACCCCCCCACACACACAAAAAAAAAGATTTATTGGTTCAGGCGGTCGTGGTGCACATCTTTAATCCCAGCAACCTTGAGGTAGAGGGAGTCAGGTCTCTATGAATTCAAGGCCAGCCTGATCAACAGAATAAGTTCCAGGACAGTCAGGGCTGCACAGAGAAACCACGTCTCAAAAAAAAAAAATTGCTGTTTTTAATTACATGTATATATGTGTGTGTTTCTGCATGTGTCATATATGAATGCAAATGTCTACAGAGTGCAGATGAGGACAATGGATCCTCTAGAGATGGAGTGACAGGCAATTACAGCCTTAAACATAGATGCTAGGAATGCAATCCAGGTCCTCTGGAAGAGCAGTAACCAATCCTAACTATTGAGCCTTCTCTCCAGTGTCCTATCCCCTTTCTTTTGAGACAAGGTTTTATGTAGTTCATACTGGCCTTGAACTAGGTTTGGAGTCTTTTTTTTTTTTTTTTTTAATGAGAGCTCCACTTTTTGAGCTGGTGGTGCACGCCTTTAATCCCAGCACCTGGGAGGCAGAGGCAAGCAGATCTATGTGAGTTCAGGGCCAACTTGGCCTACAGAGCTAGTTCAAGGACAGCTAGGGCTGTTACACAGAGAAACCCTGTCTCAAAAACGAAACAAAACAAAAAAAATCCCATAAGTAAAATAGATATTTTAAAAATGCTTATTCAATTTGACTATACATGGTAGTATGCACATATGTGTGCAGCACCCACAAAGGCCAAAAGAGGGCATCAGATTCCCTGGAGTTAGAGTTACAGGTGATTGTATTGTTTTTGTTTGTTTTTTGAGACAGGGTTTCTCTGTATTGCTTTGGAGCCTGTCCTGGAACTCGCTCTGTAGATCCACCTGCCTCTGCCTCCTGAGTGCTGGGACTAAAGGCATGCACCACCAACACCTAGCTAGTTACAGGTGATTGCAAGCCACCTGAGGTGTGTGCTGGATGAGCCATTGCTCCAGCTCCTGAACATGTAGCCTTATGGTCAAGGATGAACTTTGGACCCTCTGCCTCCACTCTGAGTAGCAGGATTGCAGGCTGAACAATGAATGATGCTTTGTCAGGGCTCTACCCTGTCTGAGACCAGGAAGGCACCCGAGTTGAAAAGCCCATGAGATACCTAGAGAGCCCAGGGAGATGAGAAGGAGAAAATATAGAGCCAGCCTCCAGAATATTGATGCAGGAGAGGACAAGTGGCATCAAGGCTTTCATTGTTTGGATGCCAGTACACTATGCAAAAAGCCTTTTGGGTCTTTTGTTTGTTTGTTTGTTTGTTGCTTTGTTTTTTCTTGGGGCACAGGAAGTAGCCAAGTCTAGCCTTGAATGCCTAATCCTCCTGCCTCCACCGCCTAGATCCTGGATTATTATAGGTATCATCATCACACCTAGTCTATATGGGATAACACCCATATGAGGTTCAGAGCATGACCCATCATGAATAGGCATGTCCTTGGCCATGCACAGTGGCTCTCCATTCCCTACCTGAAAACCAAACTAACAGACCATTTCTGCAATGGTGGGACCAGAAAGAGGCAAAGCCAAAACATCAGGACTATCTGGGGATAACCCAAGGTGTGATGCAATGTCATGGGACCATGACACTCAGGACAAGCGAGTCAGCCTTGGCAATAGGTGACCAGAGCCAGCTGGAACTTGGCTCCAATCCTCAGATCCTTCTTTCTAAAAACTGGGGTACTAGTGGCTATCTTGACAATGAGAATCCCCTTTAGTGTGGCACCTCAGTGAAAGCAAGTGGCTCTGCCATCAACACTATGTGACCTGGGACAAGAAGCTGTCACTCTCTGGGCTTTATCTTATCCCTAGACACACGAACCATTGCTGATTCAGATGACTAATGAAGGCTAGCCTAGCTTTCCTCTGATGTTAAATACCCATGTGGGCATATGCAAGGAGACAGTTCTCAACATGTGTCCTACAAAATCTACACACACACACACATACCGACACACACAATAAAACTGAATAAGAAACACTAGGGCAATATATACCGGAGAGACGGCCTTAACCATAAAGTGTCCCTCCCCATCTACTGTGGAATATGAGACTCGCTGTCTAGTCCTCATTTGACAAGTCTCTCCCACCCTCTATCATTTTAGCCACCTGTCAGTCTCTTGTCCCATTTGTGCCTCATAAGAAGTCTAAATAGTAATTACCACCAATGTACCCACTGAGGTCCAGAGGGGTAAAGAGACTCAATGAAGTCACCCAGCTGGCCCAGTAGCCCTCTTGAGCCCCAGAGAGGCTTAGAAGAGGGGTGTGAAGCTGAAGTAAGGTGAGGAAACCCTCAATTTCCTGGACAAAAATCTCCCACCTGGGGCCTCCCCCGGAGAATATTGTACAGGACCAAAGAAGAACTGGGGAACCAGGATTTGGGGACTATTTCTGGTGCTGTGCTGACTCAGACCATGACCTTGGGTGAATCACTCACCAACTCTGTGAGGCTTAAAAACAATTCCCCCAATAAAAGTGTTCCAGCCTCAAGTCCCCATTATGGGGGCACCACTAGGGAGGAATGGGTGCGTCTGTTTAAAAACAGAGAGGCAGGAGACACAAGAAAGATGTGAATGCTGGTTGAATGTCTTAGGCTTGTCTGTGCTGGATCCTGGAAAGGCGACACAATCACCCCCCTCCCCAGCTTCTCAGACACTCCTTAAAAGACATCAGTGCTGAAAGCTGCCCTTGCAGCTGGAAGTGACCTAATTAAACCTGATCCCTTTCTTTCCTTCCCTTCCAAGGTAGGTGTGTGTGTGTGTGTGTGTGTGTGTGTGTGTGCGCGCGCGCGAAAGGGGCTGTCCCAGCCAATACTAAAAACTAATTATTTAAGTGACCCTTACTCATCTCCTGGTCACATGTCTGGGCAGCTCTGGGGCTGTTGTTGCTAAGGTTTGGGGTTTCTCTGGCATTAGTGGGGGAAGTAAAAGCCAGGATATCTCCTAAAGCCAAGTTCATAGACAAACTCTACCCCTACCTGACTGTGTGAACCTAAGCAAGTCACCTTTCCATTCTGGGTCCCCTGGAGAGAGGATCATACTGGCCAAAGTCACACACAGTGGCAGTGGGAATGCTCAGTGTGATCTCAAAGTCCCTAGGCATCCCAAGGTGTTGTCACCCCCTGCCCTGCCCGGCGACTATCATTTGTGTGTAAGGGGAATGTGTAGGCCCACCCCTGATTTTACTCCCTCACCTTGCTGTGGATCTCCCCTAAGCTATTTGCTCACAGGGCTCTGGGTCCTGGGCACCAAGCTTGTGATAGTGACTGTGATAGCTGTTGGTTCAGAGCACCCTCTGCTGGGTATCACCTGTAAAGAGGGGGTGCACTTAGGGTGGGGGGTGCACACTGCCTTTGGATGGGCTGGCAAATATCCCTATTGTCTTTCCATCCCTGAGGGTCCTTGAGGGCCACAAGGGAGCCCTCTCCCTAGCAAATAAGCACCTTCAGATTTTGTCCAGCTCTCTGTCCCTGGGCTGGGACCCTTTGCAGCCAGCTTCTGTTTGCACTAGTTGTGTTTTTTGAAGGTGGGGCCAGATAGGCAAAGATGGAAAACAAGGCAATGTGGGACAAGAATGGGAATCTGGACACTCACACCCACAGACCTCTGGGATGCAGTCAGGGTTGGGAAAGAGCCCCCCACAAGCCCCCACATGAGGCCTGGAAATCTTCCTTCCCAGGAAAAAGCCCTGCCTGACTGGAGGGCATCCAGGCAACCCAGTGCCAGCCTGTCAGAAAGGGTATCCGCCCCCCACCAGGCACACGTCCTTCTCCCCTCCCCCCAGCCCCAGTGGATGCAGCAGTTCACACTCTGGATTTATTATTGTTCTCACTCCGGTCCCCCTCCTCCCTGGAAAGAGCCTGCAGCCTGGCAGCCTGGCAGGAACCTGCTGTCTGCTGTGGGTGCCAGCATCGCCCCTTATCTCCACTCAGTATCCCTGTGCCAGGGTCAGATCCCTCAGGGGCTTGATGCCAGCCAAGGCCAACCTGAGTCCTTGCATCCACAGCAAGGTGGCCTGTCACCCCTGCCCTACAGTGGGTTGTACCCAGGTAAAGGGGGAGGTTAGAGCTAGCCTAGCAAGCATGCAGGGGAGAGCAAGGACTCAGTGGGGTGACATAAAGGCAAAAATAACATGGAGCCATCCCTCCAGCAAGTTGACACAATTATCTCTGCCACACCAGGGAAAAATAGAGTGAGGAGAAGACAGCTGCTCTGGGACCCCTGCTTGCCCCAGGCAGTCCCTCTCCTCTACCCTGGCCTCAATACAGATTCCAGGGGCAAGATCTAGCAGTGCTCCAGACTGGCCTTTTAGGGTCTGAAAGGATCCATGGCTTTCCCTCACCCTGTTCCCATATTGGAGGCTGCGGCTTGGCAGGAAGCTGCTGTTGTTAGCCTCTTAGCCCAGACATGAGTGAGTCCCAGACACAGACATTCACATGCATTGGGATGCGAGGGAGCCAGTCCACCTTGGCTTTTCTCAAGGGTCAAGAGGAGAGAAGGGAAGGGCGGTGGGCTCCTGGGCATCCCTCTAAGAAGGGCTGGGGCTAGTTCAGCTACGACCTTTCCAGCCTCACTCCACACATCCTTTCTTGGTACCAACCACCCTTGCCCCTGCCTCTGCTACAGTTTCCATCACAAGCTTCCTTCAGGTCCCCCATGCTGCCCCTTACCTCGCCCTGGCAGCGGGGGGCCAGGCACTGCCTCCTGTAGTGGGCAGCGCCCTATCTCCGGACTGCGGAGCTGGCTGGCAAGGGTCAGGTCTGGATGATGTACTCAGTGGCGTGTGTGTGTGTGTGTGTGTGTGTGTGTGTGTGTGTGTGTGTGTGGTGTGCGGGAGGCACCTCGGCCCCTCACTCACTCACACACGCCTTCCCTGTGACGTCAGGCTATGCAGGAGGGAGGGACTGGGATGGGAATTTGTACTCCCAGCTTAAAGGGACACTAGTCTCTCTTCTCTGGCCCATGCACCACCTCCTGAGCTAGGCCAGTGCTGGGTGAGTGGCTAAGCTGCTGCGTCTGTGCTTCCTCTTTTGGAAAGTGGCTTTTATTGCTGGACCAAGGTATAATTTGCCCTGCTAGGTCAGGGTAGCTGCTGGGGAATGAATGCAGGGGAGGAAGAGCTAGGGCCGATGGCAGGCATTCCTGATGACTGGGGAACAAATAGAGTGCAGAGTGAGCATGTATATGTGTTCATACTGGGAGGTCCTGCAGCGTGGGAGGATGCAACCTGGAGAAGGAAGGAGGCCAGAGGAGAGAGGAGACCCTCTGGGAATAAGCCAGGTTCCTAGGGACTCCCAGATATTCTATTCCCCTATCCCCACCTCCCAGTCTGACTGAAGCCAGGAGTTGGTGCTGAACTCTCTTGTCCCCTCCAAGAGGATCTGAGATCTCCAAGTAAACAATGCTCAAATCTCTTCAGCACACATTAGATTCTTGGGAAGGGCTATATATCCAGTGGAAGAGACATCTAAAAGAGTAACAACATCTCTCTGTTTCCTACACACATATATATGCATGCACATGGGGCATGAAACAGGGGCAGGGAGATGGCTGGGAGGCTCCTAGGAAAGAGGCAGACTCAGCAGATTCAGCCCAGGCAGTTTAGGTCTGGGTTCTCTCTTCAGACAATCCTGGATTTGGCTCTCAGCCCTTAGGACTCAAGTCTTCCCCAAGAGGACAGCTAAGGCTCAACTGTTTATGAACTCAGGGCCAGGCTGCAGGGGGCCTCCATAGAGGGGCTTCTCTGCCTCCCTCCTGTCACTTCTCTTCAGCTTAGAAAGAGGTCTTCTCTGGTGTCAATTTGGTACTACTGAGTCACAAGGAGGGGTCCTGTGAGCGGGCACAGACCAGTAAGTCCTAGCTTTCTGGAGGGTGGGATCAAGTTTGAGTCTACCCCAGGCTACCTAGACAGACCCTATCTCAAACAAACAAACAAACAATCAAACAAGAGCTCAGTAGTTAAGCTGCTTTCCCAGAGGACCTGAGTGGTCCCCAGCACCCATGTAGGGCAGGTTACAGATGCCTGCATCTCCAGCTCCAGGGGACTCAACTCACCTGCACACATACGGCAGATACTCACATAGACACGAATATATACATACACATACATAAAAATAATTTAAAAACTCAAGCAGACAAATACTGGAATGAAGATAAAGAGATGGAAAGGAAAGGTAAGAAAAACAAAACAAAAATACTAGTGAGGGCAGTCAAGGTGCACTGAGGGTTCTTCTGTACCAGACACTGTGCCTTCCCCTTTCTTATACACTAGACAGCTTCACTTATTTTTGTACTGGGGAGAGGCAGTCAGTAGGGAAGAAGAATTTGCTTGCTTGCGTTAGTCACCTGGTTATAGGAGCGTGGGATGCAACTCCATGCATGCCACGTGCCTAGAAATGATTTTGTTGTTGTTGTAGTGGGTTTTTTGTTTGTTTGGTTGGGCTGGTTTTAGGCAGGGTCATACTAGAGAGCATTGGCTGGCCTGGAACTCACAGAGACCCACCTGCCGCAGCCTCCCAAGTGCTGGGATTAAAGGTGTGAGCCACCACTGCTGGGCTCAGTCATGTCAACACAGGAGAGACTGATGTTGGCCCACAATGAGGGGCCTTCCTCTCTTTTTCGGTTGCTGGAGAAAGGCTGGAGAGATAGCTCAGTGGTCCTGAGCTCTGGGGTCCTGAGTTTAATTCCCAGCAACACCTGGTGGCTCACAGCCATCTATCTAGCAGGCATATATGCAAACAGAGCACTCATGTACATAAAATACATAAATAAACCTTAGAGAAACAAATTGTTGCTTCTTTGAGATAGGGTCTGGCTGTGTAACCTAGGTGGGCCTCAAGCTGGTGACAGGCCTCCTTTAGCCTCCTGAGTGCTGGGGTTATAGGTGTGTACATACATATGTGCTACTTAGTTCTTGCCTCACTGTTTTTGAGACAGGGTCTCGTGTAGTCAGGCAAGTTTTGAACTTGCATTATAGGATGACTGTAGACTCCCGAGCCTCCTGCTTCCATATCCCAGATGCTGGGGTTACAATCATGTGGTACCATCCCCACTTTTTCTCTTCTTTCCACCTACTTTTTCTCTTGCTCCTCCTATCATGGGGCTTCATTGTCTACAGCTCAGAGGTAACAGAGGGACAGAGCAGAGCCCTGAGCTGGCCTTGAGCTTATAGCAATCTTTAAACACATTAACTTCTCACAGAGGAAGGTGAAGCTGCGATGGAAACCTGTAACTTTTCTTTGCTTGCCATCCATGTTCCCACCTTCTGGGACCCGCTTGGTGTCACATGGTAGTATGACCTTAGTCTCCTCTCTCAACCCCAAGGCCTTTAGCCTAACCTGGCCCAGGAGAAGCAGTGACCAGAACTGGGTTGGAATATTGGTACCTGGGCCAGCTATCTTTCCAGTGGCCTTGAACTGAGTGATGGATTCAAATGAAGCAGGTCTGCCTGAGCCTTGAAAGGAATTGTGGGGAGAGGTCCTCTGCTCAGCTGGGCAGAGGGATCCCTCAGCAGAGCAGTAGGAAGGGGTTGATATGACAGGAAAAGTGAAGGGAGTCAGTATTAGGAGCTGAGACACAAGGTGGGGGCGCATGCGTCCAAGGCCAGTTCAGTGGAGGCTGGGATTCCATTGTGGAGCAGGGTAAGTCCAGGGCCAAGGTTTTGATCCCTCCCTTTGCATCCAATTTCCTTTCTGTCCTTGCAACTGATAAACACAAGCTGGGGCTGCCAGGCAGCAGGGCACAGTGAATGAAGGAGGCTGGTCCTGGTTTGAAATAGCGGGGTGATTATCTCCCCACGCACGGAGAGGGCACAGCTGTTCATTCAGGAAGTGAGCAGCACAGACACACCCACCCACCCACCAGCCGCTGAGTAACAAAGAAATCGTCTGCTTGCATCTAGGGGCTCTACGGGAAGGCTATTTTTGTGAACAGCTGAGCATTTAAAAGCTCTTCTCCTCGAAAGCCTTCCTCGTGGTGGAGAAGCCCACAGAGAGGTGAGCAGAGCCAAACAGCATCGCAGTCCTTTGGACCATATCTCACTCTAATTTCCTGCTGTAACCAACCGATGGTGCCAGCCCTGGACCTGACATCTACTGACTTAATCCTTCATTGCACACAGACCCCTGTGGTGTCCATACACGCAATAGATAGATAGTAGGAACTTTAAGAATCTTGCCCACCCAGGTATAGTGGCTGATAGCTATAATCCCAGTACTCAGGAAGGTGAGGCAGGAGAATCACCTGGAGTTTGATTGAGTTTTAGGTCTGCCTGGGCTGCCTCAAATGAAAACAAACAAGAATCTTGCCCAGTATCTCATAGCTGATATTGGAGCTGGTATTAAATGCAGGGTTCAGGGGGCTGGGAAGATGGGTCAGTGGTTAAGACAACTGGCTTCTCTTCTACAGGTCCTCTGTTCCTGGCACCTACATAGTGGCTCAAAACTGTCTATAACTGTAGTTCTATAAGATCCAATGTTAGCTGGGTGGTGGTGGTGGGTGCACGCCTTTAGTCCCAGCACCGGGGAGGCAGATATGGGTAGATCTCTGTGTTCCAGGAAAGCCTGGTCTACAGAACTACTTCTAGGACAATCAAGGCTGAACAAAGAAACCCTATCTTGAAAAACAAACAAAAAGATCTAATGCCCTCTTCTGGTGTGCAGATGTATAAAAAAACAAAACACCCATACACATAAAATAATGAATCTTTTAAAAACGTGGATTTCAGTAAGGCATGATGCTGTATGCCTTTCACCCCAGCACTTGGGAAATAGTTTGAGTGCAGCCTGAGCTACATGGTCTTACTTTATCTTGGGAAAAAAGATTCACAGGTTCTGGCTGTTACATTCTTGTTCTTTCTGCTGTGCAGAAAGTACCTTTGCAGTGGCTTCTTATTCCCTGAGCACTCATCTCCTCTGCCATGGGACTCATCTTCAGCCTTCGCTAATATTTTTGCCCTGTAAATTAGGATGGTTCTTTTTCTTGCTCTGGCCCCACTAATCTAAATACTGTTCTGCCAGACAAGCTCTCTCTCTCTCTCTCTCTCTCTCTCTCTCTCTCTCTCTCTTGTTTTTTTTGAGACAGGGTTTCTCTGTGTAGCTTTGGAGCCTGTCCTAGAACTAGTTCTGTAGACCAGTCTGGCCTCGAACCTCCAGAGATCCACTTGCCTCTGCCCCCAAGTGCTGGGACTAAAGGCATGCGCCACCAATGCCTGGCTACCAGACAAGCTCTTATTCAACACTTATAGGACTTCTTTTCTTTTTATGTATTTATTGAGGGTAATGGGAAATGAACTCAGGACCTCTGGAAGAGCAGCCAGTGCTCTTAACCTCTGAGCCATCTCTCCAGCCCCTCTTATTCAGCACTTAAAGAAAAAGTATTGTGTTAGGCATTGGTGGCACACACCTTTAATCCCAGCACTAGGAGGCAGTCGGATCTCCAGTTTGAGGCCGACATCATCTACAAAGTCAGGACTGTAACACTGAGAAACCCTGTTTGAAACAAACAAATAAAAAAAGAAAGAAAGAAAAAATATTGCACATATGTATGTGTATGTGCATGTGTGCTCACCATGGCACATTCCAGGAGGTCGGAGAACAGTTTTGGGGACTTGATTCTCTCCTTCCAGCATGTGGGGCTTGGAACCAAACTTAGATCTTCAGGACGGTGGCAAACAATCCTAGCCTGACTCTTTTCTCTTGGCTCTGGGGAATCCAGCCAACGAAGCAGGAACTCTATTTTCATGGAGCTGACAGTCGAGTAGGGAGAAGGCAATAAAACAACCTAATAACAGAGTGCTGGCATGTTAGAAGGCAATGAATATTCCAGAGAACTAGTGATCAGGGAGTGGGATAGGGAGTAAGGCTGGTGGTGGGTGGCTTGTGGTTTTAAATGGGAGGTCAGGTAAGCCCCAGCCTGGCTCCTCCCCAAGAGTGACAATGCAAGGATAGAGATTTTATTTTATTACTGGTGCTGGTGATGAACCATCCTGCCTCCATTTTAGGCTTGAACACCATCGTCATCTTAATGTAAAAACAAAACTAGGCTCCTTCCTATTTGTGATTAAACATGTTTCTCAAGGTTTTGGCTGTGGCCCACTTGTACCTTCAACAACAAATGGCTCTGCACTGCCTGTAGGAGGACACAGCAACCATGTCTTTGTTTCAGAAAGTTGTTATAACCATCCTGTGTCCTTATCTTTTTTTTCAAAAGGTTGTTATGTCCATCTGTAAGGAGTACGGTTTTTCTGCCCTGCTGCTGGTCTTGTCCCGCCGCCGCGCCAGCCCCAAACAATACACAGAGACTCTGTATTTGATACTATGCTGTTGGCCAGTTACTTGTTTCTTATAGGCTAGTTCTGTCTTAAGTATTAACCCATTTCTATGTATTTCCACGTGGTTTTACCAGCCAGAGACGGCTGGTGGTTCTATTCTCTCCAGATTCCCCATCTTGACTCCTCCTTCCTACTTCCTATTTCTTCCTTGTCTCCTAGTCCCTCCTATCTTCCTTTCCTATTGGCCAACAGTGCTTTATTCATTAACCAGTATGAGAAACATATACAGAATGACATCTCCCATCATCCATCTGTTCTTACGACTACTTTATTATGGCCACCTTGTGTTGCTCTGCTCCTTTAACCCCACCTATGTCCCTGTTAAACCCCCCATTTAGAAACTCCCTTTCTCTGGGCTATAAAAGCCCTTATCTTTCCCTTGTCCAGTGATGATCTCTTGAACCCCAACTCAGGGAGAGAAAACCCATCTACATGAATAAAAAAGCTTTCCTTATTTTATTTGATTTTAGTTTTTAGTTTCTCAAGATAAGGTTTCTTTGTGTAGCCTGGCTGTCCTGGAACTTGCTTTGTACTGCAGGCTGGCCTGGAACTCACAGAGATCCATCTGCCTCTGCCTCCCAGGTGCTGGGATTAAAGGCATGTGCCACCACTGCCCATCTGAACTTACTTTAATATATTGCTTGCTGTAATTAAGTTGGTCATGATGATATGAGCCAGAGGTCTTGTAGACTGAGTCATTTGTATTTAGGCCTTGAACTCCTAGTCACAAGCAATCCTGAATCAGGGCCCAGAGTGGCTGAGACTATAGGCCTGCTGTACTACGATTCTTGAATGTTTAGATTTAATAATAAATCTCGAATGTCATTCCACAGCTATATCTCATAATTCTTTTCTGTGGCTTTACATTTTTCTATTAAAATATATACTATTTTCTTTTTCCAATATGCTTTTATCAAAGGACAGTCTGTCTTTTTAATATGAGGTCTCACGTTGTCTGGTTTGGCCTTGAACTTTGATGTCCCTCCGTCATTCTCTCCAGTGCTGGGATTGTAAGTGCGCTCTAGTTTGTGCAGCTACAGAAGCCTTTGAAACGCATTCTGTTATTAGTGCTGTTTGCAGAGCAGTGTGGGGCACAGAGAACTTCACTGCCCAGGCCACCCCTTCCTTCCTTGTTCCTGAGCTGTGGCATGGGAGCCCCCCCCTAGATTCTCCTCACACCCAGATGAGTTCCCAGCTCTTTTCCCCTTCACTCTTTTCCTCTAGGCGCTCACAATTCTGTTGCCCTTTTGTTCATTCAAATGAGCCATAGTTTCAAGCCCTGGCCATTTGCCAGGCACTGATGTAGGCCCGGATGTGGTGGGGAGAAGCCATACAAAGGTCCTGGGTTGCTGAGGGGCTTGTAGACTGAGCCATTTCTTTTTAGTAAACCACCTCAATCATCCATGGAGCAAGGCAGAGGGTTAGTGAAGAGGCCGGATCTTTTTTTTTTTTTTTTTTTTTTTTTTAACCAACATGTAAACCAAAAGTTTGTGCCAACAAATTATTGAGCTGAATACCACAAAAGAGGACCTGGTTCTGAAGCCCAATAGCCTGTCTCCTGCCCCCTTTCCCTCCCACACTCCCCCACCCGTTTTAGCTTTCCTTTCAGCTAATAGCTGAAGCCCTCGGGCGTTGGTTTTGCCCACTTCTGTCCTTGGGACTAAGCTATCTTTTCCTCAGTGTCTCCCGCTGTCAGCCTGCTCCTCCTCCCCCACAGCCACACAACAATCCTTCTTTCTAGTCTCCCTGCCCCCTTCAGCCCCTTCCTATCCACTGTCCACCCAGCCAATGTGTATCTGTGTCATTTCCCTGTTTTAACATGTGCACACAAAATAAACAAAAGTATAATTTTAAAATATTTTGAAAATTAGACAGGGTCAGCTAAAAGGTTCAGAAGTTAGAAAGTACTTATAACTTACTCCGAGGACTTGAATTCAATCCCCAAGTCCCATATGACAGAAGGAGAGAACTTATCCTGCAAGTTGCCCTTTGACCTCCATATCTACATCATGGAGTGTGTGTGCCCATACACAAATGTAATTTTAAAATTAAAGAAAAAGATAGAACAAAAGTAGTTGAGTTTGTTGCTGTGTGTGTGTGTGTGATGCCAACTACTTAGAAAGTTAAGTTGGAAGGTGGTTTGAATCCAAAGTTGGAGACCAGCATGGGTAAAACTGGAAGATCTCCTGCATATCTGTTATTTATATTATGATTCATAACTGTAGCATAATTGTAGTTATGAAGTAGCAACACAATAGTTTTATGGTGGAGGGTCCCCACAACATGAGGAACTGTATTAGAGGGTTGCAAGATTGAGAACCACTGGGCTAGGAGCATTTGCACCTGCAAATCACTGAGACAAGGTTTAACATATACTAAGAACCCAATAAAAGTTTTCTGTTGGGGCTAGGGAGATGGTTCAGCAGTGAAGAGACCTGGCTGCTCTAGCAGAGGATCAGGGTTCACTTCTCACCACCCACATGGTAGCTCACAATTTACTGTAACTTCAGTTCTAGGTGATTAGAGGTCCTCTTCTGATACACTTACATATATGCAGGCAAAATACCTCATACACATACAAATTTAAAACAAGGTACCTATTGGTATAAAGATCATAGCTGACTAGTTCTTACCTCCCATGTCAGTCACCTGAAATACTTTGTTTCTAAGCAGTGGGAAGGGACATTAGTGTCTTACACCGTTAACCTCCATTTCACAGCTCCAACCCCAAAACACCTTTTTTATATTATTATTATTGTTTGTTTTCTTTTTCAAGGCAGTATTTCTTTGTAGCTTTGGAGCCTGTCCTGGAACTTGCTCTGTAGATCAGACTGGCCTCAAACTCACAGAGATCTGCCTGCCTCTGCCTGCTGAGTGCGGGGATTAAAGGTGTGTGCTACCACCACCTGGCCCTTTTTATCTTCTTTTTCACATTTCCTTTTCCTTCTTCCTCCCTCCCTCCTCCATTCCACTTCTTCCTTTTCAAGAAAGGGTCTTTTGTACCCAGGCTGGTCTTGAATTCACTATATAGCTGATTTGAACTTCTGATTCTCCTGTCTTCACCTCCCAGATTCTGGAATTACAGCTGTGTTTGCCATGATGTCTGGCTCTCCAAAGTTATTTAATTTTTGGTGGGTGAAATGCTAAAACACTGGTTCTCATTTTGTAACTCAGGCTGGCCTTGAACTTGCTGTGGTTATCCTGTCTTACCTCTCTAGTGTTGGTATCACAAGCTTGAGGATATTTGTTTGCATTCAGCTGCTTACCGACTGTGCTGAGTTTTGTTGAGTACATCAGTGTTACACCAATTAAAATTTCTGTCATCCAGAAAAGGTTCTGGTGATCTTTTCTTGCCCAGTTATCTTGTGTACCGGTCTGGAGGATGGACTTTTTTGTTGTTGTTTGAGGCAGGTTTTCTCCATGTAGATTAGGCTGACCTCAAACTCAGAGATCCACCTGTCTCTCTCTGACTCTCCAGTGCTGGGATTAAGGTCGTGTGCCACCACGTGCAGCTATAAGGGCTAATTTTGAGCGTGTTATATTTGTATTTTCAAAGCATCTCTCTGAGGTGCAGAGGAAAGATAACCAGGCTGAAAGTCTTGTCGCCTAGCAACCAAAACTCCCTGAGGGGCCTGATGTTGGCTTGCTTTAGGACGTCCTGCTCTCTCTTCCCTCAATGGCTGGAGGCAGCAAGAGCCCCCGCCCACTTCCTGGCCCCGCCCCTCGCAGGAGTCTCGCGTAGCTCTGTGGCCGTCTGGGGCGGGCACAGGCTTCTTATTGGTCAGTTCTCCGGAAGCTGAGGAATTCAGATTCGTGAGCGCTGGGCTGGTGGATGCTTGTGTATGGTGCGTGGCTGCTGCGCGTGGTGCGGGCGCAGCAGGGCGGGGTGGCCTCGGATTGGGGGAGTGGGTGCCTGGAGGGAGCGAGCGGTCCTCAGTTTCCTCCGGCAGGAGCTTGGTACCGCAAGCGGCTCCCAAGTCTCTCCCGCGCGGCCCTGCTGCCGGCCTGGCTTGTCAGAGGCTGAGAGGGGACCGAGGCGGCTTGCGGTCTCCCACGGTTTCCAGGTCCCCGTGCTTGACAGGCTCTCCGGTTCCCAGAGCCCGGTGCAGGATGTTCGTCCTGGTGGAGATGGTGGACACCGTGCGCATACCTCCGTGGCAGTTTGAACGGAAGCTCAACGACTCCATTGCCGAGGAGCTGAACAAGAAATTGGCCAACAAGGTACTGGGCCCTCGGGCTGGCGGGCAGTGCCCAGACCCTCTCTGCTGCTAGCCTGGCTGTCTCCTGGTTCAGCTTTAGCCTTGTATACTCAAGTAACTTCATGTCAGGATCTCCTTTTCTTTCTTCTGAACCAGACTTGGATGTTAGAGGTACCCAAAGGAATTAATGGGCCGGGCGAAGTAGCGCACACCTGTAATCCCAGCTTCTTGGGTCGCCGAGGCTTGTGACAATCGTGAGTTCGAGGCCAACGTGAGCAACATAGTAAGCCGCTGTCTCAAACAATTAAAAAACGTTGGGGTGTTTGTTGAACAGTGCATAAATTCACTTGGCATTGGCGGGACTATTGGTTCCATTCTTATGGCCAGAAAACAAAATAAACAAAATGGAGAGAGCGCAGCACAAAATGAGTTTGTAATATGGAAACTGGAAAATTCCAGTTACTGTGCAGCCTTGGCCAAGTCACCTTCTCTGGGCCTCAGTTTTCATTTGTAAAACGGGGATGATTGTTTTTATATCAGCTGCTATGTGTGGATGGGTAGTCTGGGAGGTTTGTTACTCATTCTCAAAATTAAAGTTTTTTGCACACCTGCTGCGAGTCATGCCAGTGTGCCCCAGGGCCAGCTGGAGAGGCCTTTCTGCTCTCCTGTGGTGACTGCTCAATTACCCTGCTTCATGTGTCGCTTAACACTTACTACAATTACTTTCTTGTTTATCCGAACATAAACATTTTTAAAGATTTTTACATTTTTTATGTTTGTGTATTCCTGTGTGTGCCACTGTGCATGAAAGGTCAAGGGTCAGCCTGTGGGTCCCTCCATTGTGTGGGTCTCTGGAATTGAACTCATCTGTCAGGTTTAGAGGTAGGTGGCATTGCTAGCTGAGCCATCTCACTGGTGTCTTATATTTATTCGATTACTGTGCTTTCCTTTCCATGGCCACAGGGTCTTATCTGACTTCTCTCACTGCCTCCAACACTTAGAGTGTGGCAGGAGAGAGACACAGAGGTTCTGTCCTTGTGCAGTGAGGGGGAAAAAAAGACTTGACTGAGAGGGTCTCACAGTTGAATGTATTATGGTGACTCGGGATAAATGCCATGAACGGCAGACATTCATATACACCTAGGGAACAAAGGAGCATCACCCAGGATAAAAGAAATGGGAAATGGTGTTTGAACTGAGACCTTTTGGTGAGGAGAAGCCAAGTAGAGGCTCTGTCTTGAGGGTGGGATGGGAGCAGGCTGGGTGTAAAGAGCCGTGCAGGTGGAGTAACTGGCATATACAAAGGTCTTGAGGACCTAACAAGGCACAGAGGAAGCTGCTGCTGTAGTTGGACAGTGAGGGAGGTCCAGATTGAAGCCAGGCCAGAGAGCTGGAGGGCTTTGTAGTCCCAGTATTGCTCTTTATAGGCCAGTAGTAGATGGTACTCTCTCTCTCTCTGTCTTTCTCTCTCTGTCTCTCTCTGTCTCTGTCTCTCTCTCTCTCTCTCTCTCTCTGTGTGTGTGTGTGTGTGTGTGAGAGAGAGAGAGAGAGAATGATGGGCAAGATTGGCTGGGTTAGATAGGAGATAGGTGATCCCTTTATGGGAGACAGAGACCAGAGGAGGAGGTAATCATGCTGGCTTGAGGCTTGTCATGTGATTTTTTTGTTTGGCCTTTCAGTCACAGAGATCTGTCTGCCTCTGCCTACTCAGGTGCTAGGATCAAAGGTGTGCGCCACTGTGTCTTAGTCACAGTTCTATTACCATGAAGAAACACCATGACCAAGGCAACTCTTAAAAGAAAAAATATTTTGTTGGAGGCTGGCTAACAATCCATTCTCACGGCTGGGAGCATGTTGCCACAACTGATGCTGGAGCAGTAGCTGAGCTACATCCTGATCCACAGGCCAAGAGAGCAGCACTGACCTGGTGTAGGCTTTTAAAATCTCAAAAGCCCACCCCTGGGATACCTTCCTCCTACGAGGCCACACCTCCTAATCCTTCTAATCTCTCTCAAGTAGCACCCTCCCTGATGACTAAACATTCAAATATATGGGCCCGTGGGGGCTGTTCTTACTCAAACTCCCACAGACACCACATCCAGGGCTTCTTTGGTTAATGTTTAAATTACATGTATTTATTCTGATGTGATGTACATGCCATAGTGCATATGAGTAGGTCAGAGGACAACTGTGGGGGAGAAGGCGATTGTCCTACTACGTGGTCCTGCGATTCAACTTAACTTGTTAGGATTGTAAGCAGGCACCTTGACTGCTCAGCCTTTTTGTCAACATCACATCCCCACTTATTTCTGAGACTGGTTCTCATGGGACCTGAGCTGATTTCACATTCACTATGTAACCAAGGATGGCTTTGGACTTCTGATGCCTGTGCCTCTGCCATTCACGTGCAGGGATTACAAGCAGACATCACCTTGCCTGGCTGAGGCCAGTTCACTGAATCCCTTGAGAGGCGCTCCCACAGAAAGAAAGAGGTGGTTCTGCAGGAAAGCTCATTGCAGGGAGCTCTCATGTCTCTCTAGTTCCTGAGCATCTCTTGTGAGGTGTGTGACCAGGGGGTGATACATGTGTAGACATTAAGCCAAGTCATTTAGACTTGGTTTGGGGTGTGTGGGGTTCTGCTCTTTTGAAGGGCTTTGGCCATGCAGCCTTATTCGAGCTTCCTCTCTGTGTGTATGAGGTGATGTGAATGTGGTGTAAATATGTCAGGGTTCTCACACTTCCTGCCTGTGATCTGGGGCACAGACTTTGGGATACTGGGAAATAGAGGTTTAAGCAGGGATTCCCACTGCCAGTTCTCACCTGTGGTGACAGGAAATTTTAGTTGTTTGTGGTCTCTGTACCTGTCACCAGGTTCCATCCTACTCACATAACACTTTGACTAGTGTCTTTTTTTTGGGGGAGGGGTTGTAGGGGGGTTGAGACAGAATTTCTCTGTGTAGTCCTGGCTGTCTTGGAATTCACTTTGTAGACCAGGCTGGCCTCAAACTTAAAGATCCACCTGACTTATTCTCTTGAGTGCTGGGATTAAAGGCATGCACCACCAGGCCCAGTCTGGTGTCTCATTTTTGAGCATGGGAAAACTGAGGCTCAGAGGGGCAAAGTACAGTCCTTAGTGGTTCCACAGTGAGGTGGAGCTGTCATTGGAAGCTGGCTTGTCACTCAGGCCCTGCTTCTTCCAGAGTTCTGCATTCTGAGGTCCCTGTTACAGTCACCTCTTGCAGAGTCTTAGCTCATGTCCATCTAGAAAAGGGGGACTCAGAGCTTGCTTGTGATCATGAAGGCTTTGGGGGAGCTAGGCCCTGGGGTCACTGGTGTATATGCACATGTGTACACAGGTCGTATACAACGTGGGACTCTGCATCTGTCTGTTTGATATCACCAAGCTGGAAGATGCCTATGTATTCCCAGGGGATGGAGCATCACACACCAAAGGTGGGTGCCTTTTTCTTCCTAGGGTGCCATATTTCTTGGGGCTCATTTTTCTGTATCAAAAGATTAAGCTACCATGCCTATTGGGGTGGCAGTAGACCTGGGCCTTGAGTCCTAATTCTGCTAGGAATTTACTTCAGTAACTATGGGTACTCTTGTCCTCTCAGAGTCTCAGTTTCCTTACCCGTAAGACAGCATTGTAGACAGGGAGATTCTCAAGACTGCTGTAGTTTTGAGATTGAGATTGTGGTTCAACCCGTGGATCCCTTGGGTTCTACCTAGTGCCCCCTGATACTTGCCCAGCCCTTAGGCTACTCATTGCTTCATGGGTGTTACTGGTTGAAGAGTGGAAGGTGAGGGAAGAGCAGGCTAGTTGGGACCAGGGACCTGGAGGGATAATTTTCCTCTGATCTCCACATTATGGGGTATATATGTGTGACCTCTGAGTGAGGATGGTTGGTGATCTATGCCTGTAATACAATACTTGGGAGGTAGAAGCAGGAGGATCAGGAGTTCTAGGCCAGCCAGAGCTATCTAACAGTGATAGTAGGTTCTGTATTCCAGGACTGTCAGGAGGGTTAAGGAATTAATATATAGAGCTCAAGACAGAGTCTAGGCATTTAGGGAGAATGGGAATTGCTTGTTTCTGTTGGTTCTGTGGGTTCCTTGGGTGGAGATCTTCTGGCAGTCTTGGCCAAGGCTGGAATGTCTGTCTGGCTTGGTGATTTCAAAGGTCTGCAGTTCAGTGCCAAAGTATGTCTTTAGCCTTGCCTAGATGTAATTGACCAAAAGTTGTCCCATAGCTAAAGCTAAGGGATGGAGAGACAGATTATCTCTTGCTGAGGGCTAGTATAGTAAAACTGAAAGGGATATGCATCTGGGGGTGAAAGGGTGGTGGGCAGAACCTAGAGAGGTGGTGGGAGCACTTGTGTTGGGGCTTCTTGACAGGTCAGTTTAGGTGTCTCCCTTGGAGGGTTTGCGGCATTCCTCAGTCCTGCTTGCATTGGGCCATCCACAGGATGTCAGAGAGGAATTCTGCATCCTCAGCTTGCCAAGGGCTTGCAGTATCCGCCTGGGAATGGGGTAGAGATGAGTGTTTTAACAAGTGCTCTGTGACAGACACACAATCCTGTTACAAGTGGGAGAACCTTGTTTTTGTCCATGTTGGTTGGCCTCTCAGCCCAGGGATGATGGGTGGTCAAGCATTCTGGAGTGTTCAGAGACAGCCTGGGGTCTGTGCTGGCTTCCTGAGACTAATTAATTGACATGGTGTTGAGCTCTGTAGAGAGCCTCAGGAAGCAGGCTGCTTTTGTATGGACTAGGTGTTCTCATGCTCAAGCCCAGAGCCTGGAAACAGAGATGAGGAACTCTGTTCTCAGAGAGGAGTGCCAAGCTGAGCTGGGCTCTGCACTTGGACAAAGGGCAAGGCCTCTGTTCTCTGAACTGAGCCGGGCTGTATTGTTGGACAAGAGCCCATTATCTAAGAGGCAAGAGCTAATAACTACAGGAGTACCAGAAACAAATCCGCTTTAAGGAAATGCTGCCTATTACATTGGTGATTTACATTTGGCACTTGGTCTGCCGTCTTGTCCCCCACACTCTGCTCACCCTGGGTTTCTTGTTCCATTATGGAGATGTCTAAGTACTGAGTACTTGGTGAAGCACATTCCACAGATCTGTGTTTCAGTTCTTTCTCTGGCCCCTAGGATGGGGGCCTGGGTAGCTAGGTTTACTTGTCATAGAGTGGGAAGTCCTTTGAGGGCCATGAGCACAGTAAGAGCATCTGGGCATGCCACACTTCTCCTGTGCTGCATGCAGGTTGAGGTCAGAAGGACAGCTTGTTAGAGCCTGTTCTCTTCTTTTAGCATTTGGGTCCTGGTGATCAAACTCTGGTGGTCAGACTTGGTGGCAAGCCCCTTTATCCACTTATCCATTTTGGAGAAACTGACCATTTCAGTGCCTCATGTGAGTGGAATAGGGATTTGTTCTTTTCCAAACTCAGTACATCTCAAGGGTTGTGGCATATGTTATCATGGAATACATCTGCTTACACATGCTAACCGAGAACAAGTGGTTACCCTCCCTCATGCTTGTGCCAGGGCTGGGTGGGGATGGAATACAGTCCTGAGAATGGAAACCCAGAACCTCATGCCACTTAGGTGTTTATCACTATGCCATATTTTCTTTTATTCTACTTTATTTCATGTGTATTGGTGTGAAGGTATCAGATCCCATTGAACTGAAGGAACAGACAGTTGTGAGCTGCCATGTGGAGCTGGGAATTGAACCTGAATCCTCTGGAAGAGCATCTAGTGCTCCTAACCATTGAGCCATCTCTCCAGCCCCTGTGCCACATCTTCTAGCCCTTGGCTTTTTAAGACAGGGTTTCTCTGCATAGCTCTAACCGTCCTGGAGCTCATCCTGAATACCCTGCTGGCCTTGAAATCACAGAGAGATCTGTTTTCAGGGTGCTGGGATTAAAGGTGTGCACCACCGTGTTCAGCTTCAGTCTTCCTTTTTCGAGGCTGATTAATGTTGTATTATGTGTACATAGTCAGTGGAGATGGGCTGCTCACCACTTGCTTTTAGATATGGTGTTCAGGCCCTGGGCACTGGCTTACACAATGTCCCTGCCCACTAGGCTTGTGCCAGATGAAGCCTGGCAGAAGCTTTGAGCTGAATGCTAGGTCATGTGGAGGGCAGTGTTTTTCCACCCAGGGGTAGGTGGCCCATGTCTTCTCCTGGCTCTATTCTGGAAAGTTAGCAGAAGGCTCAGTTAGCTTTAGGGTGTTGTCACCTCACGGGGTATCGTGCAGGAAGGCAGATGGACAAGCTGGGCAAAGGAGGGCACTAAAGGAGTCCTGGTAGAAACCTGTGCTTTAGAATGGTGGTTCTCAACCTGTGGGTTGTGATCCCTTTGGGTCGCATATCAGATATCCTCTATATCTCATATCAGATATCCTGTATATCAGGTATTTACATTGTGATTCATAACACAAGTAACAAAATTACAGTTATGAAGTAGCAACAAAAATAATTTATGATTGGGGGGGTCACCACAACGTGAGCATTAAGAAGGTTGAAAATCACTGGCCTAGAGGCTTCCCATGGCAGAAACAGCAGAAGAGCTGTGTGGTTGGAGTCGGTCACCCAGCCTCTCTGAGCTATCTCTTCCTGTTTGGTGGAAATACAGGCAGTTGGCTAATGGCAGAGGGCATCTTCCTGTTTAAGAGGGTCAGGGACTTGTGTGGCTAGGGACAGATGTGGCTTCTGCTAAGGCCAGAAGTCATTCTGATGTGGGTACAGCTTTAGCTAGCCTTTCCCTTAGGTTCAAGTGAGTGGGGAGTACATAGGACATGGCCTGAGAACCCATGAAGGCTTTCCCCATGTGACTTTGTCACCACAGGCAGCTTGGCATTTTTAGTATCCTATGCCAGGTCAACTCTGCTGAGGATAAACTTGCCCAGGCATCAGGAGCCAGGGACTTCCTTCCAAGTCTGGCCAGTTGCTGCTGTCCTTTTGGAATGTAAAGGACAGCCTGGAGGGAGTTTGGAATTGACTTTAGAGTCACTAGTGGCCCAGAATCAAAGCTCAGGTGTGATGGAGATTATTTGGAAACCAGCCTTAGTCTAGGGCAGCTGCTGCTTCTGGTCCCTTTGGAGACCAAGCTGTGATCTTGCAGAAATGAGGGAAGGTCAGTCCCCTGGCTTGGCAGACAGGTCCAGATCTGCTGGAGGACTTAGCATGGATCATTGGATAAGTGTGCTGGCAGTGAGGTGGACATTGGTGAACATGATCAGCCCCAGGTTCCAAGGCTGTCAGGGAGGTTCTGGTGTAGCTCATAACAGTATTGCCTTCTTTTGCAGTCCATTTCCGATACGTCGTGTTTCACCCATTCCTGGATGAGATTCTCATCGGGAAGATCAAAGGCTGCAGCCCAGAGGGTGTGCATGGTAAGGGGTGACTTCTGGGGTGAGACTGGAATATGGGTAGGCAGTGTATCCAGCTGAATCTTCCCTATGGCATCAGAGAAACTGCCCAGCTAAAGCACCAAGCAAGAGTGCCCCATCTCCTCATGCATGGAGTAAGAGACTCATTCAACTTAGGATCTGAGGATGGATACTGAGCTGGTGGAGGAGACAGGCTCACAGTGCCTATGGGTCCCTGGGTATGCAGTGAGCACTTGGGCTGGAGACTAGGTACTTGGAGCTTTGCCCAGGGCTGCTCAGGTCATGTTGGTAGTATATTAGATGTGGGGCTTTGAGGCAGGAAGGGACAGATTGCCCTGGGCACACTTGGCCCACACTGGGGCTTCCATGCAGTGTCTTCTGGGCTGTTCCTTTTAAGTCCCCATCTCATGTCGCCACATTCTTCATTTCTTCCAGTCTCTTTAGGGTTCTTCGATGATATTCTCATCCCTCCTGAGTCACTGCAGCAGCCTGCCAAGTTGTATCCTCTCAAGGTTAATGAGGGTCAAGTGGACATCCCCGCTCCTGTGTGAAGCACCAGTCCTCTTTGCTTCCCACCTGACCATGGTGTCCATATGCCTGTGTCTGTCAGGCAGGGCGATAGAATAGTACTGCACATCTTTGCAGCTTCAGTCACTCACGGTCACTTCATGCAGGTTGTGTCTGCAGGAGTCATTTCAGAGATGCATCCCTCAGGGTTGCCTCCCTGTTTTCCAGGCTGTGGGGCTGGTGTCTGGAGCCTGGGCTGGAGTGCAGAACCCCTGTCCTCTTCTCAAATCTGGGGCTGGTTGTTTTGCTTTTTGTTAGTTTGTTTTTGTTTTTTGAGATGGGGTTTCTCTTGTATAGCCCTGGATGTCCTGGAACTCACTTTGTAGACCAAACTGGCCTTGAACTCACAGAGATCATGTGCTATCACCACCTCCCTGGGACTGTTTTAATGGGACTGTCACTGGTCACGGTAGAGGCTCAGGTGGGCCTGTCACAACCCTAAGTTCCCAGCAGTAGCATGACTTGGAGAATGCAATGTGCCACTGGAGGGCAGTATGGCTCTGTAGGCTATGAGGGAATAACAGAGCTCAGCCTCCACTTAAGCCAGGCCTAGGCAGGTAGAGGTAGGGTTTAAGTGAGACTCTGACTTGTCAGCAAATCTGGCCTAGCCTTATGTTCCTCAGACAGGTGACATTCAAATCTACTTTATCTTCTGGAGACCGGGGCAAGTCCATGATCTACCTGCCTGTCACATTAATTATGAGGCTTGAATGAGGCGTGTGAGGTCCTTGGTCATTCAAATTTCCAGACTTGGGAATGTGGTTCTCACTTTGTGTCCTGGCACAAATTAGCCCCTCTCCAAGGAGCAGGAGCAGCTTTTACTGGAACTTTCTAGCTAAAATAGACTCCATCTGGAGTTTTAACTTGGACCCTCAGCCTCATGAAGTTCCATAGCAAGATTGTGGCCTTGACCCTGGTCTCCAGTGATGAGACAGAACAAGTCTGGGTGTGGGAGTATGAGACGGAGGAGGGAGCACATGACTTGTACATGGACACTGGCGAGGAAATCCGCTTCAGGGTAGTGGATGAGAGCTTTGTGGACACGTCCCCCACAGGACCCAGCTCAGCTGAGGCTGCCTCTTCCAGTGAGGAGCCCCCAAAGAAGGAAGCGCCATACACGCTTGTGGTAAGGTGGTGGGAGGCTGCTTTCTTTTTTCTAGAAAGGGTTTCTCTGTGTAGCCCTGACTGTCCTGGAACTTGATCTGTAGACTGGGCTGGCCTCTACCTCCTCCCAAGTGCTGGGATTAAAGGTATGCAATCCCCACCCCCGTGCAAGAAGGCTGCTATCTGGAGGTTCTACTTCTAGAACCCCCTCCTTAGCAGGTCATGTCTCTTCTGATTGTCACCTGTCACTTCTTAGCCAGCTTTTGTGGATTCGGGCTATGAGATGAAAACATTGTAGGTTTTGAGCAAGCTAGGTGGGAGTTTGTTCTGTGCCTCCCAGAGGGACAGCTCAGACAGGATTATATCATGAGGACCTTTTAAGAAAGAAAACCAAGGAGGGATTAGTGAGATCAAAGTTGGAACTAGAGCTGGGTTCCAGGGCTGGGGTTAAGGAAGGATTACCTGGTCCCACTTGAGGCCTTTTCCTAAGAAGCTGGAGATCTGGGGCAGGTGTGGCACTATGGTTTCCACTCTCCACAGCCTCCGAGCTGCCTGTGCCAGGCCTGCCAGGTACTATAGGGAGGGCCAGTGGCCCTGCTGTGCCAGGCAGCACAGCTGAGTGGTGACAAGTGTACATGTTTTTCTTTGACAGGGATCTATCAGTGAGCCAGGCTTGGGCCTTCTTTCTTGGTGGACCAGCAACTAGCCCTGAACTTAACAGTGACTGCGCAGACCCTTGACAGTGGAGCAGTTTGCAGATTCTGAGGAGTGCTGCCCGATCCAGGCTAGGTGGGACCACGAGTGCCACCTGCTTGTCGTTTTCCTTCCCAGCTCTGGTTTTCTAGAGTCACCCCTGAAGTCCTCTGCACTGGATTGCTTTTGGTTTTTTTGAGTCTCATGTGTCCAGGCTGGCTTCTCACTTGCTGAGTTTCTGATCCTTCAGCCTCTACCTCTTGAGTGCTGGGATTACAGGTGTGCACCCCTACATTGAGTTTGTGGTAGTGAGGATGGGATGGAGCCAGGGCTTTGTGTACTCCAGGTAAGAATTCTCCAACGTCCCCAGCACAAGGACCGGGGCCCTCTTTCTTGTTAGGCTGGTATTGAACTACTGAGCTAGGCTCATCCTATCCCTTCCTGTGAACTGTTTTTTTTAGTGACTGAAGAAACATTTAATAAATAATGACAGCAGCAGAAAACACCCCTCCCCTTTTTAATAGCTGGCATTATGATCTGAGGTCACTGAATTGCCAACCTGGGACAGCATTCCCAAGCCCCACAGATGTAGGACTTTAGCGTTTATGAGACCAGACTGACTCTAGCTGAGCTTGGTGGTTCTTTAGCAAAGACAGAGAGGCCACTTGAGCAGGTGTTTTAGGCTGGCGCTGCCAGTTGCTGATACATTTGGAGCATCAAGCTGCAGCCATCTTTCCCCAGCATTTGGAAGGAGTAGCTCCCCATCCCAAATGAGCCAAATCAGCCCTTGTCTAGGAAATGGAGGCCATGGGATTTGCTGTCCTAAGGCCTATCTTTTAAGAAGCCTGCGTTGCCACTGCCTAAGCTGTGACAAGTACCGTGTGGTGTTAGTGATACCCCAGGTCCTGTTGTCCTTTCTCCCACTGAAACTAGGGTACTTGTGGTAAGTAATGTTTTGTGACAAACCTTCATGGCCTGGTTGGGTCTTTTCATGTGTTGGGGGTATGAGGTAGTGCCACCTGATGCTGACTAATGAAGAAGGACTTATTTTGTCACAACCTTCTGCTGAGGAGGCTAGGGACAGCATATATTATTAGGTATGGCTTGGGGGGCAGATTCCTTTTCAGGTTGCTTTATTTTACTCTGTAGTCAAGGCTGGACTTGAACTCAGATCCACCTGTCTCCCAAGTACTGAGATCAAAGGCTTGTGCCACCACCACTGACTTCACAATAGGTGCTCACGTACCTACTCTCAGGCCTAGTAGAACAGTCTCAAGGGAATAGAGGAGGCAGCTCTTGGTTCCTGAAGCTCTAGCCTATTGCAGGAACATGGGGATGGAATAGTGTTTTCTGTTAAGTGTTCCCCATTCTTGCTGCAGTGGTCAAGGTCCAGTTGTGGCCCAGGCCTGATGAGGCCTCGGCTGACCTTGGTGTAAAAGACCTTCCCTGAACGCAAGCTGAAAACAAATAGCAGACACCAACCACTCTCAAACAGAACAGTCAATGAATTTGGATTTTTTCTTGTAAGAACAAAAGGTTCTCTAAAATCCTTCAGCCACCAGTGAAATGATCAGGCAGAATGAAAACTTTTAGAGGGAGTGCTGTCATTAAAAATAAATACAGGTGCATAGGCTGTTGAAGAACCAAACTGAAAAGGAAGGCAGGGCCTGGGACATAATCTCAAGTGCCCTCCATGGTGGATCACTCAGTGGGCTGAGGATGGGGAGAGCAGGAAGCAGGTCTGGTCGGCGCAGGAGGCCATACTGGACAGACCAGCTCTGGCTCATGACGATGCACATGGACCTGTACTTCTGACACCCAGCAGGGTCCAGAGTGGGACATGACAGCCAGGACTTTCCTTATTGCTGCAGCTCCTTCATCCTGTTTAGGGCACTGCCTGCACGGAACCACTCGATCTGAGTCTCGTTGAAGGTGTGGTTCAAGAGGATGGTTTCCTGTGTCCCATTAGGGTGCTTGATGACGCATTTCAGAGGCTGCAAAGGAAACATGAGTGTGGGTGGGAAGGAGGGTGCTCCCAGAGCACCACTCTCAGTGGGGACTCTGAGGGCCCAAGGTGTTGCACCACACAAGCTTTGGGGCACTAAGGGCCAGGCCAGTCCTGGTTAAGGTTTCCCTCACCTGGAAAGGACTTGGTTCTTTCAGCTGAAACATGAACTCACAAGAGCTGAAAGTATAGCTTGGTACATAGAACAGGAAGCAAGCGACTGCTCAGCCCCACCCACACAGGAGAACCCTCGTCTGTGCTCTCCTTCCTAGCCCCCTAACCTTGCCAGGGGCAAAGTCCTTCAGGCCTTGAATGGTCAGCTTGTCCACTGGATGGATCTTGTTGTAGTCGGAGGGGTCAGCAAAGGTGAGAGGCAACAAGCCCTGCTTCTTTAGATTAGTTTCTGGAAGACATACATGATGTCAAAAGTGTGGTTCCTCTGCCCAGGGACCATTATTAGCCCAGGAGTATCTTCTGAAACAGTTGGGAGATAAACCCTCCCCCCCGGGGTGGGGGTTAACAAGCAGTGACTAAGTGCCAAGTGTGCAAGGTCCTGTTGACTCCTTTTCCCAGTAGCACTCCAAACAGGTTTGCGTTAGTTAGTGCAGGTGTACATGCCACATGCTTTGAACTGACAAGCTTAGAACTAAGACCAGTGTTGGTGAGAGGCTATGGGCATTAGACTAGGGCAATGTCAACTTGGCATTGGGTAGGTGGGGACAGGCTCTGGAATATGGGAGTATGGACTCCAAGCCCAAGTTGGCCACTGACAGAGTAGGTGACCTAGGACCTTGAGTAAGGAGAAGCACTTAGGGCTCTAGCTCACCATGGATCCTGGCAAAGCTCTTGGTGATGATGGCCCGGCCTCCAAGGTGGCGAGGCTCCAGTGCTGCATGTTCCCGGCTCGAGCCCTCACCATAGTTCTCATCTCCAATCACCACCCACCTGATGCCATGTTTCTGTCAGGTAATAGGGACAAAGTGAGGTTCATGAGTCAATGTTGGGGGAGGCAATTCCTTTCCTTTTGTCCATGAGCAGCTGAATTTGGAGTGAGTTGGGCCTGATAAGGTCCCAAGGGACCAGGCAGGTTGTCTCTCCTTGCCCACCTGCAGTGGACAAGAAAGCAGCTGCCTTCATGGAGCAGTGCAGAGACAAGGTGGAGGCCCTTTGGGGAAACTATGATTGATACAGTGGGAGCAAGAGATTCACTGTAGCACTGAAGGGCTACTTAGTTGTTTGGTCCATGGTATGGGCCTGAGATTACAGTTCCTTAACCATGTGCACTGTCCTGGTCAGCCACAACGAGGTGCCTGATGACCCTCACTAGTACCTCACCAGTACCTAGATCAGTCCTGGAAACTTTGAAGAAATGGCTCCACAGTAAAGAGCACTTCTGGTTCTTCCAGGAACCAGGTTCTAGTCTTAGTTCCCACACGGTAGCTCACGACCATACACAACTCCAATTCTAAAGGAGGATATGACACTCTCTTCTGGCCTCTGTGGGCACCAGACACACAAAAAACTACTTGGGGCAGTGCTGGCCCACACCTTTAATCCCAGCACACGTGAGGCAGAGGCAGGCCAACTTCTGAATTTGAGGACACCCTTGTCCACTGAGCTAGTTTCAGGACAGCAAAGGCTGCACAGAGAAACAAAACCAGGGATGATGACTCAGGCCTGGATTGAGTCCCTCACTGCTTGCTCTATGTGAGACCTGTGGTTCTTCTGACTTCCACTTTCTAGCTGGATTTGATTCCTAAAGCATCAATTTTATAAGGTTTCCTTCAACCTTCTTGGGTCTGGGCCTATACACCTGTTGTGGCTCATCTGTCTCCAGGGCAGGGTCTCCTGGGTGCCGGGATAGCCATTTTCTCTAGGCATGCCCCCTTCCCTCTAGCCCAAAGAAGTGCAGCTGCTAACACAGTTATGCCCAATAGTGCTGGCCTACCTTGTAGTAGCGAGCAGTGTCAGGGACAGGGCCAAACTCCTGGGTGACAGCATTGCGCACAGAGTTGGCCTTGCCGTTTTCAATGTTGATGGCACCAATGAGCAGGTTATTAGAGATGTTGTCCAGATGTCCACGGAACTTGAGCCAGGGGCCAGCAGCAGAAATGTGGTCAGTGGTGCACTTCCCTTTGACCTTGGATGGGTAAACAGAAGAGGACAGGCCATGTTAGGCCAGTGAGGAGTGGAGGAAGGGAGAAGCCTAGAGATAGGCAGCAGTGACCATCACAAGGAGGGGAGATGAGGGTTATGTCTGGACCTGCAGTCTATGGAGTGAGTTCTGGCGCTCCCCACGCCCACCTGTTTCAGGCGAGGTCATCACCCACACCCTCAAAAGCCCTAGCTATGCTGTGTCCATGACAAGACTCTCACAGGACAGGCTAGACCTGGAGGACAAATGCAGCTGTTTGCTTATTCAGCTAAGCTACCGAGAGTGGAAGATCAGTGATTCCATGCTAGACACAGAAGCTGGGTCCTGGCTCGTGAGCTAAATACTGGCTGTGTATTAGTAAGCCTGTAAATTATTGTTAGACATGAGTCTGAGGCCCTTGATCACACCAGAAAGGCATAGGAATGCTGTGGGAGTCTTGTCAATCCAGATCCGAGCTGACTCACATGATGCATTCACCACACCAGATGGCTGAAGCCTGATAGTTAACTGCCTAGAACAGGCTCTGCCCAGCTCAGAGCCATGGAGAAGGGGAACTGCAGGCTGCTGTGATCTGTTGCTCCTTGAAGCCTCCCTTCCTGTTCTCAGGGGGCCCCAGCCATACCCAATGCTTGTGCCAACCTTGATGAGGATTTGCAGATCCTCCAGGTCTTTGCCGTCCCACTTGTCAAAAGGCTCCAAGAGCTGCAGGCGCTGGCTGGTAGGGCTCACGTCTACCCGCTGCCCACTGCTGTCCTTGGGGGGGTGCTGGTAGGTGTCCTGCCCTGGGTCAAAGTCCTACAGAAGGGATGGAGACACTTTGGGCACTGAGTCCTTAATCCCCACACGATGTCTCACAGATCACAAGCTTCCTTGTGCCCCAAACCTCACTCATTCTCAGTGTCCCCACCTCACATGAGCCCAGGCAGCTAGGCCAAGGCAGGTAGGTGGTGGCTAACCATACACAACGAAGGCAGCAGTATCTGCTCACCGATCGGGGGAGCTCATCTGCATCTGGAGCTTCCAGCTTGAACTTCTTGCCGTCCTTGCCTGTCAAGAAGTCGGTTTCTGGGTTGAACTTAAGGGTTCCTGCAATGGCCAGGGCTGTGACAATCTGAAATGGAGGAGGCCAGTTTGCTAGTTAGCACCACCCACACCTATCCACCCAGGCTCCTCTTTATTATCTTTTAAATTATTGGGTGTGAATGTGTATATGGTGTGTGTGTGTACATACAGATGCCAAAGCATAGATGTTGGGGTCAGAAAACAACTTTGTGTGGTTGATTTTTCTCCTTCCATCTTTATGTGGAGGATAAGGGGAACGGGGATCTGGGCATTAACTCTGG